TCCATAATTTTTCTCCCAGTTCGTAGGTCGCACTTCGAGCTTTAACTTCCAAGTCAAACATAGCATTACTGCAGCTAGATTTTTTTTGATGAAAATAAGAGATATTATATAGTGTTACTGACTGAAGCTAGTGTTTTTAAAGAAAGTAAGAGGTTGTATATAGCGTTACCTAATACTACAAAGTCTATTAGATGACAATAACATGAAAATAACTTGAAACTTTTTCTGTGTGGAGAGTTCACCCTTTTGAAGCCAGCTGTGTGCCGCTTTTCCCACCTAAATCCTCACTTGTAACCATTATAAAAACCATATAATCATAAAACGCAGCTTCTACCATTATCATGTCTTAGATCATGTTAATATTTTAAGGGCATGCCTCAACTCCTCAGTGCAACTTATGCGGCCTTTTAATTAAACCACCCTGAAAAGAGTGGAAAAATGAATGAAACAAATTGCAATAAAAGACGGCACGCTGTTAAAACGTGTTAATTGCCCTGTGAGTTAATATATCAAACCAACCTCAACACATTTTGATGAGGGGCATTGCAACAAAGGGAAAATGGCAGATAAAAAAGTCATGGAAATTCTTTGCCGTTAGCCACAATCAACTATGACTCAATTGTATGACTAGAAGGTTATTTTAGAGTGTTGATGGAATGAGACAGCCACTCCCTTTGTGAAAATTCCAAATGTAAAATGTTAGAACTTTATGCTGAGCAAGACCACACATGTAACATGGGTTGCATAAATTATACTGGATCTGTGTGCTTGCAGAGAGATGCTTCATGAACACATTAAAAAAAATAGAAATACACTAGGGTCCAACTGTAAGCCCACTACCAAGAGCTAAAACTAATGCAAAATGTTACTTAATTATTATTATTTTATATGTTACTTAATTAATTCATTATTTATTGATTCATTGATTTTTCATGTATTCATGCATTTTTTGCAATCAAGACATGATGATAGACATCAGCACATTGTTCTTGCAGGACTACAACTGTAAATATAAATTTGCTTGTAATTAAATTGGCTTGTCTGGCTAAATAAATGAAATATGTGATGTTTCATCCTTTATCAAAAACTAATATACTCTTTTACTCACTTGTTTGAGTGAAGTGTTTGAAAAAGCCTGCACTAATCATCACTGGAAACATTTGAAAAGGGGAACAGAGAAAACAGACCGCAATCTCAGCTCTAAATGAAGCTGGAATAACGTAAAAAGCTTGTAACTGTGAAGGCCATAGCATATGATTTACGTCATTTACGTCATTTCCACACTCATTAAACCATTTAGTGACCCTTTGTGCACTGTAGATGGGGGCATTTTCATCCTAGGAGAGAGCACTCCCATTAGGATAACTTTGTATTGATTTGCAGTGACTCTTTCCTCTTAAGTGGACAAGTGGACCCAAACACGTTCCCACATGCTTTAAAATTTTAACCATCATTCTAGTCCCAAAATTACAGGACTAAATGACTACAGACCGGTAGCCCTGACCTCTGAAGTCAAGAAGGTCTTTGAATGCCTGGTCCTAGCCCATCTGAAAGCCATTACAAACCCTCTGCTGGATCCCCTGCAGTTTGTGTACAGAGCTAGCAGGTCTGTTCTCTGCGTTCATCTTGGCCTCACATTTCATGCTACAGCATCTAGACAGTCCTCGGACCTACATTACACTTCTGTTTATAGTCTTCAGCTCAGCTTTCAACACATAGTGCCAGAGCCACAGTTCAAACTATCCCAGCTGTCTGTGCCAGATCCAATCTGCCAGGGGATTATGGGTTTCCTCACAAACAGGAGACACCAGGTGCGGGTTGGGAAACACACGTCAGACCCCCGGACACACAAGGTTGTGTGCTCTCAGTCCTTCTCTTCAGACTCTACACCAATGACTGCGTCTCTAAGGAACCAGCTGTGAAGTTTGCAGATGACACTACTGTGGTGGGCCTCAAAGCCAAAAGGGATGAGGCCGCCTACAGAAAGGAAGTCAAGCAGCTGGTGTGCTGGTGCAGCAGCAACCACCTGCTGCTGAACACATGCTGCTGTACACTGTAGAGATGATGGTGGACTTCGTCACCCTCCTCCCCTACCCCCATCAACATCAATGGCTCTGTGGTTTCCACTGTGGAGTCACTTAAGTTCCTGGGCACCATCATATCCAGGGACCTGAAGTGGGAGAGGAACACAGTCTCCCTTGACAAGAAAGCACAGCAGAGCATGGTCTTCCTAAGCCAGCTGAGGAAATTTAACTTGCCACAGAACTTGATGATGCAGTTCTACACAATGATCATCAGGTCCATCCTCACATCATCCATAACCATCACAGAAATGAGCTAAATTCCAGTGCATAATCAGAACACCGGAGAGGATCATGGGATGTCGTCTATCAACGTTTCAGGACATCTACAGCAGCAGGGTGATGAAGTGCATTGGCAAAATTACAGCTTACCCCTCTCATCCTGGACATCAACACTTTCAGCCACTTCCCTGTGGTAGAAGATTTAGGTCCATCAAAACAGGCACAACCAGATATGCTAAGAGCTTTTTCCCCAGAGCTGTACCGGCTCATTACAATCGACACCTATCGAAACCAATAAACCTCCATTACTGTGTAACAACGTAACTCCTCTGAAAGATTATGTTTATTTGTACAACTGTACAGATGTTATTTTTTTTTAATTTTCATATCATCCTGTAAAATTCTGTCAATTAATTATTACAAGGCCTCCCAAGACCAACATTTTGATAGATATTCACATCTGCACGTGTACAGATGTTCACACATCTCTTTAAGCTCCTCTCACATTGGCTCTTCAGTATTTTTCTCATTCTCTGATCTATTTATTCTATTCTTATTTTATTTCTCCTTTAGTTAAACATTTATTAATTGCCTATGTGTTTGTCTGGTCTGTTCGGTATGTTACATGTTCATACATGTGTGTGCTCACCAAGACAAATTCCTTGTATGTGTAACATACGTGGTGAAATTAAGTGAAAAACCTGCCAGCAAAATGCAGCCCTACAACATTGTGTAGTTGCGATACCAAATGGCAGTGTCATTACATTTATTTTTTGTATTACTTGATTACTATTCTGTAAACAAATGCCCTTGTGCAGCATCCATACCGAGCTGCCCATGCTTGTACAACAAGGCCTCGAGTCAAAGCAGTGCAATTTTCCTCACATTCATTCTCACGAAAGCACACACACATGTCCATCTGGGAAAAGTCTTGGAAACAACCGTAGAGCCTCAGCATAGTCTTAAATAATCATTCCTTATGTTCATTTAGCCATGCGAGCATAAAATTGTTGAACCCAACTGGAATTCAGTGTTGACCTTTGAGTTAATGACTATTAAAATGCTACGTGACCATCATATACACTCAGCATGCCTTGCCAATACTAAAACAACCACAGTACAGGTTTTCGTGCAACCATGATAAAACAGTAAGGGGGAGCTGACATCACAGAAAACACATTAGACACTGCTTTCAAGGCCTTTGCCCATTTTCAACTAATGCCGTTTCACACGATCTGAGTTTGAGATAAACAGACCGATCACCAGCTCTGAACTGCAAATGGCTCAAACTGGGCAAAACTATAAAGTCCCAAAGAAAACCCTGTAGACTGTTAATGAGTTCAGCAAAAATCTCAGCATACAGTGACATTCATTTTTCATAACTGTCTCTAACTTAATTAATATAACTGTACATAACAATGTTCTATTGTGCATATCAATGCATATCAAGCTTAAATGTGTGTGTGTGTATATATATATACACACACACACACACACACACATTTAAGCTTGATATGTATATATATCAATGATATATATATATATATATATATATATATATATATATATATATATATGGAGAGCTTAATTCCAAATGTATTTTGATATATTTTAATGTAAAATGCACAGTTCAGTCAATTTACCCTTTAATGATGCATTCTTTTTGTCATAAATTTATTTATTTTTTAATTTACATTTAACATGACTGTATTTATTAAAGAAATTCAATTTGAATAATCATGTTAACAAAGGTCATTGATACACACGCACAAAACCCCCTACCTTTTATATATTTTAACATACTTCCGTATACTGATTAAAAAAAAGTTTAAAAACATAGTGCAAAAAACATGGAAACTGAACTACTGAGATAAAAATCCGGGCAAAATTAATTATCCAATTAATTCATTTAAGATACTCTTAATATTCCAGGATACTGGACATTGAATATTATTTGCTTAGCAGTAAACAAAAAATGTATTATGTTGCTTAGTAGGCAACAGAGAACATGTTTCATAACAAAACATTTGTTTTTAAACTATCCAGTCTCAGGACTGAGAACGGCATGTCTCTTGTTTTTTGCCAAGTAAGCAGCCCTATCTCAATCTCTACAGTGCCTATAAAGCCTTTGACTCTGATATAAATGATTTATGGCATTATTTTGACAAGATTTCTATTACTCCACCATTAGAGCACATAACAACAAAATCTGTGACAAATGTAATTTTTAAATAAAATACATTTTGTATTGTAGTATAATGTTAATGATGTATATAGTACATGTACAATTTCCTAAGTTAAACTAAACTTCCTAAGTTATTTCCTAAGGAACTTTTAAAAATATTGTTTTATATCACAAGTGATTTCTCACATGTTAAAAATTGGTTGTGAGCTGTTTCCCATATGTAGAGCGAATATGAAACATAATTAAAAAAAAGGAAAAATTAAAGAAATCAGAAGGGAAATGTGTTATTTAATCTTAGGTCAGCTGTGTAAATGCACTTACTGACCTTTGTGACATGGTTTCCTATTTCAAATGGAGAATATATATATATATATATATATATACAGCATGCAATTATACTATTTTACTAATGTATAAACTAATTGTTACTGTTAGAATAAATAAATAAAATAAAATACAAATAAAATAAGACTTTTAATAAATCTCGCTTGCCCTCTATTGGTTGTGTTGTGTGACGTCGCGTGTGAGAGTGCAAAGGTGGAAGGTTGAACTCTCAGGTTTGGATGTTCTAGCGGGACAGAACACGAACAAGCGAGTTTCTTTCACTTTAACGTTAGTCCACTCAGAACTACGAATATACTCTAATCTGAAGAGAACAAAATCATTATTAACACTGTACAGCTGTGGAGCTATACGATACATTAGCTATCAGACTGCAGTCGTTTTTTATTCGGTATAGTTACCGCTGCTGTGTGGCGTGTACCAATACATTCCAACCAGACAGTAAGCTAATTGGCTAACTTAGTTCGCTAACTTGGCTAATAGTTTTGGCGGACTGTTTTGATGTATCCTTTCAAAAGGACCTTAATATTTCATTGACTTTGCAGCGTTCGGAAACACTCCCCTATTTCTTCAAACACAAATTTAGGTTTAGTTTTGTACAATTAAACAAGTTAACAGAAAGCTAGCCCCACGTTAATTTAGCTAAACTGGTTAGCTCCCGTTGAGTATGGCCGAGAGACCGGAGGACCTGAACCTTCCCAACGCCGTTATCACCCGCATCATCAAAGAGGCTGTAAGTAAAATTATCAGAAAGCTGATGTGCCTTTAAATTTACGATTTATCGGGGTTTTGTGATGAAGTGGTCTTTCATTACCCTTCACATGCGCTCATTTATATGGCACAACGCCAGTGAGACGTGACACCTGTTCAATTCACCATTTTTTTTTTGCGAGGTTAAATTTCCAAATCCGTAGGCTTGGATTTATAGGAGGGCGAAAATGTAAAACAGAGCTGGCAAAGTTCAATTTTATGTAGTAACAAAGTTAGACATAGGCGGACTGTGTGGTTGGCTTTGTAACTTGTAATCAGAGCATGTAGCTATAGTAACTGTAATTTTCTCGTATTTGTTCTTTCAGTTGCCAGACGGGGTAAACGTGTCCAAAGAGGCGAGAAGGGCAATATCACAGGCTGCCAGTGTATTTGTCCTCTACGCAACATCATGGTATGTCTGAAGATCATAGTTCAATGTGTAACTCTCTTGCATAATGCAGTAGTCAACAATTCAAATACAAAAATAAATGTGTGACTTGTGATTTTATTTAATCACCAGTGCGAATAGTTTTGCCATGAAGGCCAAAAGGAAGACGCTCAATGCTGGGGACGTGATGGCAGCTATGGAAGAGATGGAATTTGAGCGTTTCTTACCACCCCTGCGGGAGGCTCTTGAAGGTAGCCACTGGGAGTCCAAACACTTTTGGCTGCTTTCACATAGGCCCAGTGTTTGTGTGTAGGCAAATAGTCTTCAGTCATGGAGGTCCCAGGTAGTGCCTACAGGGGGTGCACAGGTTTAAAATTACAGACTGTAGCCCACCTATTGATAAATTTATCACCCCCCAGCTGCCTGGTATGTCAAAAGGTTGGGGGGTGCAGGGGTACCTGATACTCTTTGGACGGTGGACGTCAGATTAATGGTCAAATGGTTGTTGCACCTTAGTTTGTGTTGCACCTGTACAAGTTTATCAGACACTGCAAGCCACTTTATTAGACACAATACCATGTCAGTATTTCTGCTGAGAGTAGTCCACCAAACAAATAATATCTGGTCAGTGGTGGTCGTGTGATGGTCCTTTCTGTTGCTGGATGGATGGGGTCTAGGAGGCCTGATAAATTGTGCAGCAACAGATGGGCTACAGTCAGTAATTGTACATCTACAAAGTAACTGATGAGACTTCAGAGTGCGCCTGTGTGGTAGGTATTTCTGATAAAATGGCCAGTGAGTATGAGTATTTCATGTGGTGTTTCTTTTATTTTGTGCACCTCTTGTAGCTGTAGTGTCCATGTCTATACTTGTGTTTGTACTACATATTTAGACAGAACTGTGCAGTGACAGGGGCCTCCAGTTGAGGAATTCTGCTTTAGACATGTGACAGTTGTGTAGTGGACACAGTGTATTGTGAACTTGCAAAGTCTGCAAAATATTCTGACAGACCACATTCCCCCTGCTGACTATTCAAATTCATGCTTTTGTAACATAATTGAGGTTCAGTTAACTAAATAATGCAATCACACAATCAGTATCATTTTAAAATCTGCAGTTTTAGCAGTATGATTATCATATTTATTGTTGCTAGGTGTATTTCACTGTTTTTTAAGCCCTAACATCTAAACTGCTCTCCTTCACTCAACAGCCTATAAGAAAGGACAGAAAGGCAAAAAAGAGGCATCAGAACAGAAAAGGAAGGACAAAGAGAAGAAAAATGGTACAGAGGAGAATGACAAGAGCAGAGAGGAAGAGGAGGACGAAGAGGAGCACATGGAAGATGATGACGGAGAGAATGAAGGCGAGGAGGATGATGTAGAAAACTGAGGGGAACAGCAGAAGTTCAGCAACGTTTCTATCCGGCCTTGTTCTTAAGGAACTCTATTTTTGATGGTAGTGTCCACTTTATGGAGAAAACAGGAGGAGGAGGAAACAAGCAGCCAGCACATGGTCTTTATAATAAAATAAGGTCATTTCATACAAATCTCAGAGAATTTAAAAAGTAACAAGGACTTGAATGCTAGCAACAGTTTGCTTTAACATGGCCCTGATCGAGTGTGTTGATAGTGATCCTGTTTATACCTTCTTTGACTGTTTCTGTTAAGTAGAGTCTGTGTTGCAGGGCTGCAGGTTCTCTGATCTGCAACTATATTTTATATATTCACTGTATGATAGCTGTAGTGTCTATGTATTTTCCAGTAAGAGTGGAAAATAGGGAATAGCTTGGTAACGCTTGCTAACATGACTAAGAAGTGACTAAGGCAATGGGTACCAATTAGCATCATGTCATTGACAATGTTAATTAGTAGCCATAACCTTTTTTTGAATATCAACAGCTTCAGTCTTTGTTGTCTTGCAACATAGACTCATAAATGCAGCTACAAGGACAGCCTAAGGTTGAGACTCTAGATGTCTTTGGTTAAGATGGATCTCCCCCCCCCCCTTTTGGTATGGTGATGTTCTTGGTTCATTGCTCTGAAGCTCTACTATTCAGAAAAAGAAAATATCATCCACTTATGGTGCTTCGTGTTCTTACAGAAAAAATGAACAGAATCACAAGATTGAAAATCTGGCAGTACCTCCTGGAACAAAAATGCATCCAACAATTCAGGGAATGCAGAAAATGCACATTATTGCAACCAAGGCAGGGCTGTTTTGATACTTTTCCCTTTGTAAAATTTTTCATCTGAAGTAGGTAGGGGCACATTGGTGGAATTGATGTCGGTTTAGGGTCTATCCAGCCCTGACATGCTTTTGTATGTTGAAATAAATTTGTACTTTTGTAGAACTTAGCCCATACTTGGCTGCATTTTATATTAAAGTTTTTTATAATGGATGTGCTTACATTGTGCATAGATTTGAATATTGCTAATTAGAGAAAATACATAATTTAAAAAAAATCAGTGGTCATAGATACCTTTCACAGGGGATATCCAACACTTGCTCAACAGACACATTAGGGATATTTTTCTTAGGAGTTTCACAGAATTGAACGTTAAGCAAAATCATCTCACTCACTTGACCTTAAGTCAGGAGTGTCCGATCAGGACCTCCCAAGATTTAGAAGGACTTGCACTATATTGCCAAAAGTATTTGCTCGTCTGCCTTCACATGTATGAACTTGAGTTACATCCCATTCTTAATCCATAGGATAAGATATGATGTTGAAGCTATAATAGCTTCAACTCTTCTGGGAAGGTTTTCCACAAGGTTTAGGAGTGTGTTTATGGGAATTTTTGACCATTCTTCCAAAAGTGACACTGATGTTGGACGAGAAGGCCTGGCTCACAGTCTCTGCTCTAATTCATCCCGGTGTTATCGGTTTGAGGTCAGGTCTCTGTGCAGGCCAGTCAAGTTCTTCCACACCAAACTCACTCTTCCATGTCTTTATGGACCTTGCTTTGTGCACTGGTGTGCAGTCATGTTGGAACAGGAAGGAGCCATCCCCCAAACTGTTCCCACAAAGTTGGGAGCATGAAATTGTCCAAATCTCTTGGTCTGCTGAAGCATTAAGAGTTCCTTTCACTGGAACTAAGGGGCCGAGCCCAACTCCTGAAAAACAACCCCACACCATCATCCCCCCTCCACCAAACTTTACACTTGGCACAATGCAGTCAGACAAGTACCGTTCTCCTGGCAACCGCCAACCCAGACTCATCCATCGGATTGCCAGACAGAGAAGCATGGTTTGTCACTCCAGAGAACATGTCTCCACTGCTCTAGAGTCCAGCGGTGGCACTTTATACCACTGCATTCGACGCTTTGCATTGCGCTTGGTGATGTAAGGCTTGGATGCAGCTGCTCGGCCATGGAAACCCATTCCATGAAGCTCTCTACGCACTGTTCTTGAGCTAATCTCAAGGCCACATGAAGTTTGGAGGTCTGCAGTGATTGACTCTGCAGAAAATTGGCGACCTCTGCGCACTATGCGCCTCAGCATCCGCTGACCCAGCTCTGTCATTTTACGTGGCCTACCACTTCGTGGCTGAGTTGCTGTCGTTCCCAATCGCTTCCACTTTGTTATAATACCACGGGCAGTTGACTGTGGAATATTTAGTAGCGAGGAAATTTCATAACTGGACTTGTTGCACAGGTGGCATCCTATCATAGTACCACACTGGAATTCACTGAGCTCCTGAGAGCGACCCATTCTTTCACAAATGTTTGTAGAAGCAGTCTGCATGCCTAGGTGCTTGGTTTTCTACATCTGTGGCCATGGAAGTGATTGGAACACCTGAAGTCAATAATTTGAATGGGTGAGTGAATACTTGTGGCAATATAGGATATCTAGCATAGACAGTTTAAGATACTCAAAACAGCTCAGAAATTAGATTGTCATTTACCACAATTCTACAAATATTTTTAAATAATTAGCTTAATCAGACTTGCTCACAAATGCACTCAGCCAAACAAGAAACCCCAACCCTTATACAGAAACATAATTGCCGGAAGTAAGAGTAGGATGAGGTGTTGAGTTTCAAATTTGAAAACTAAACTTAAAATATATATAATACTGTGCAAAATACCTGGTAATTTTTATAGAATTGATGACCAACACCACAAGTATTTATTTAACAATTTTATTGTCTTTACTCCTTGTCAACCTTTTATTCCTGCAAGAGAAAGGACAGTTTAGAAACAGAATCGCCTTTAGGAAAAGCATGATCCACAGACCAACACACTTGTCCAGTACTTACAGATGGACATTCCACTTTGCCACTATTGATGTCATCAATGACATCGTGGGGTAGGCGGCCATCAATGGTGCAGCCCACAGACTGAGCTGTGCCCAGAATCTCCTTGATGGTTCCTTAGGAGAGGGCAAACCATGTGAATTAAATTTCACTGAACTTTCAACCTGAAGACACACAACTGGCTACATATTTAAGAAATATTTAAGTTGTAAGTATTAAGGCAGTAAACATTTAAAATACAATCTGCAGACATATTGTTCCAGGCCTTTCGGCACAGAGTTACCCACCAGACTGGGCAGCCCTGCTTCCTAGAGCTGGATTTGATCTTAGCCTCCACTGGACTATACAAAGTCACTCCAACAGACTAGCACAGTGGCGGGAGGCTGGCCATTAAGGCAATATGCCAGTATTTTCCTCAAGCTGCACACTTAAGTCAACTGGCTTCTAAGAAGTTTCATTTTCACATAGTACAGATCCAAGTATGGCAGAAGATTAGACTGAAATACACTTAAGTATTCCTTTAAATTGCACAAATTCACCATGTACCTGAGAGCTCCCTGGCAATGGAACGTGGCCTCATAATACGGGCAATGTTGATGATCTCATCGAAGGGAACACTGCCAGAATGCTTAACTGCAAGAAGAAGTGTGCAACAGTTAAGTTTGCAGTCTGTATTCCTGGGCTATACAGTTAACTTGGGGGCAGAAGTCAAGTGACTTGTTCTGCTATACTATGAAAATGTAATTATGTAATTACAGTTATACACTGAATTGCATTTATTCAATTTACATTCTGTTCTGACAGGTTTTGCTGGAAGTACACACTTAAATTTAAATAGTAAAACAAACATAGTAAACGGCTTGTTCCAAGCCTTTTGGCACAGAGTTACCCATTAAACTAGGCAGCCCTGCTTCCTGGAGCTGGGTCACACCTCCACTGGATTATACCAAGTCACTCCTAAAGACTAGCATAGAGGCGGGAGGCTGCCATCCAGTGTGTTGTTTAAGACATAAATGGATAACAGGGCTTCCGAACCATAAAAAGGCAACTTACTGTTCTTGACCTTCTTCCTGTCACGGGGAGGCTCTTTCAGGGCCTTGATGATGAGAGCAGAGGCGGAGGGCACCACCTCAATCTGGAAGAAGAAAAACTGAAAAGGCCTCTGCTGGACAATTTTGCAGTGTTCATGCTGTTTCACTGACCTTCAAGCTAGATTAGTTTTACCTTTACCATAATGTAAGTGAACACATCTAACTTTAATCCAGAACTACCTTGCAATTATATGTTTTACTGTCTAACAGTAATAACTGGGGTGAGTGGCCTTGTGTAGCTGCCTGAACCTAGAGCTCCCTCAGTAATAGTAGTCCTGTTTATACCTGAACAAAATTTCATATAGACATGCCCATGCATAGACACCTTACCCTGTACAAAGTGGCCAGTCAAATATTTTACAAACTACATTATAGACTGTTCCCTGGTAAAACTAATTCAGCTCAAATTGTGCTTGAGATGGCAAGTCTTACTGCTGCTTGTCTGTTCTGGATGGTAAGCTTGACAGTGATCCTCAGGCCCTTCCAGTCACCGGTTGCCTTGGCAATGTCATCACCCACTTTCTTGGGGGACTAAAAATTGATAGCAAAGAATAAGCAAGAAGACACTGTTACAGAAAGGTTTTCCCTCTGATAGATTACACCTAATCTTGAACTAAACCGATGCTCTCCATTAAATACTTTAGTTTCACACATTAACCCCTTAAACTCTACACAAGAGTTGCAATAGTCCTTTCCTTGTGATCCAAGTTCAGTTCTCACCCTTAACACACATACAATTAATCAAGCATCTAAATACTGTAGCAAACTGTTTATTCCAGGCCTTTTGGCACAGAGTTACCCATTAGATAGGGCAGCCCTGCTTCCTAGAGCTGGGGTTTGATTTTAGCCTCCACTGGAATATGCCAAGTCACTCATACAGACTAGCATAGTGGCGGGAAGCTGCTCCTCAAGTGTTAAACCAAACAATTAACCTTCATGCCAAGACCAAAATACCCTCAACTTACAAAAATACACCAGAAAAGTAGTGCGATTAATCCCATTTAAAACATTTGTCTACACAAAAAAAAGCCAACTGAGCAAAAACCACCATAAACATGCAATACAGCTTCAACTTTCAGCAAGGACCAAAGTCAGTCATGAAGATTCCTTTTCCAGGTTAGCAACTATTATGAAAGAATCAGTAACTACTGTAAAACTAATCTGTAGATTTCATGTGTATGCATGTATGCAGCTCAAACTTGAGCAGTTAAGTCTTATGTATACTGAAAAATAGCCCCTCATGTTCTGTAATGGTTGGTACAAACTTATCCATACGACTCAGGAGTCCTGCTAAATATGGCTATATCATGTACAATAGAATCACAGAAAGCAGTTGGTCAACAAGTGATAAGAACACAGTATATGAAAAATAAAACTTACCAGACCCAGAGGTCCGATTTTGGGGGCCAGAGAGGAAGTGGCACCAACCTCCCCTCCTGTGCATCTCATGTACACTGTAAAACAGATAATGAAATACAGGTAATTAATAGCACGCACCCTGTCTGATGAACTACGCTCAACTGGGGAAAAGAAAAACACTAGTACCACAGTTTATCCCAGGCCTTTCGGCACAGAGCTACCCATTACAGAGGGCAGTCCTGCTTCCTAGAGCTGGGTTTGGTCTTAGCCTCCACTGGACTATACCAAGTCACTTGTACAGACCAGCACAGTGGCGGGAGGCTGCTCTTCAGACGTTATACTAGTCCTTCAAACCCAGACCTTCAGTCCGGCTTCTGATCCTGGATTTTGTAGTTACTGACAGGAATGACATTAGATGGCCAATCAGCTACATCAATAGTCTGATTAACTGCAAAATCAGAAACTGGATTCAAGGCCCAGATTTGAAGACCTCTACACAGACCTTTCATGCCAAACCAAAAATTCCCAATACAGCCAAACTTTACATTTGTCTATATAGAAAGGAAAAAAGCCTCTAAAAATTCAAGGGGCACGTTAATTTCTGACAAACGAGAGCAAGAACCAATATCAGTTACACAGATCCACCTGCATAACAATCGTTTAGTAAACTAGTTATATAATATTTAAATCATCTTATGCCTAATTTGTTTGGTATCAGTGCATCTGCTTAAAGCTTCTTAATTGATTCAACATAACCCTAGTTTCTACTCTTTCCATTGCAATTCCATATAATTTCCAGAAAGTAGTCTCAAAACATCCACACCACACTCCCTAAAAGCCATCAATCCACACCTTAATATAAATTTTAATCCCCATCTTCAACAACACTTGCACAAACCCTGTTATATTCTGAAGTCAATCCATGTATACTGACCCTACCTGACTAAGCCTTTCTTTTTGTGTAATGCAGCAAGTGGCAGACTGGTGCTCATACAGATTTTGCACCACTACCAGCCTAGAGTTTTTTTTCCTGCCATTCTTTATTGTTCAGAAAGGAAACACTCGTTTTAGACGGTCGCCACTTCTATGAAATGTCACCACTCGATTATGCTGATCAGTAACTTGCTCGGGTTTACAATCCGAACCACCACAAGTTTCAAACTGCTTTCTATAAAAGCCTTGTGTACAGCCCTGCTTCCTAACAGCACTATAGATCGCGTGCCTTTACTACACAGCTCGGGGTTTTCCTGTTTTAACACCTGATTTGGCTCAAGAAAGATTTGATCATTTGCTAATCACTCGAATGGAACGCAATTTTAAGTCCGCGGGGTCTCGGTGGAGACACAAGCAGCGGTATCTCGTGTCTTCACGTGCAAATATGTTTCAGACTCACTGTACTTTTCACGTGCTAGCTAACTTAAACCCACTGCACTGACCACGTGTTTAGTAGTTTCTAACATCTAATAACCCGCGGACACACCCCAAGTCCTATCAAAATAAACTAACGATTCTCCAAGGTCACTAAAACTAACTAACGTTCGTTATAAAACACACGATGCAAGTTAAAGCATAGGCTAAAATAACGTTAAACATATTTAGCCGGCTAGTCTGCTAACTCGCTCACTCGGACCGTAACCTACAGCTCATCCAAAACCTCATCTGAGGCTGTTAGTCAGTTCATAATCCATAATTAACCCGTTTCTAAGCTTTTTTAAGACTAGAAAATGAAGGAATCCATCATGAGGCCTTGAAACCGACGAGGCCTCTGCAGGCTGGGAAACCCACCGACACGTCGGCGTTTTTAAAACATACCGATTTTAATCTCGTTGGGGTCGAATTTAGGAGGCATGGTGTTGCTGTTGAAGCTGAGCTCAGTTCGGCTTGAGTTGGTGAGGGTGTCGGATGAACCCGGATTCGGGACGACCGATCACTGTTGCACCTTCACCACCTAAGTGAAAAAGGAAAGGACGACACGCTCTCGGAGCGGGATATTATAGGTTACAACATATCGCGAGACTGTAGAAGACCTCGAGGCCAACATCGCTGTAGTACGCCACAGATGGGCTAGAGTGCGCGCGTGAGCGAGTCCAAAATGAATAGGTTTGAATGGAACTAAACAACTAAAATTATTATCATTAATTAAACACGTTTATGGTCAGAAACATACCAACTTGATTATATTTCGGGAAAATACCAGGATAGATCACATCAAAACATCAATTAAACATATTGTTTTATGTAGAACGTATGTGGTTTAATGAAATATGTTTAATTAAATATGTTTTAATTAATGTTTTGATATGTTTTTTTGTTTTTTTTTTACTTTATTTTTACTTTACTTTAAATGAAAACAAGTGAGTGAACTGCAGTGAACTGAAACGGACTAATTTATGATTTAAGCCTTTAGCTCCTTTCATTTCCGTTCATTTTGAGCTCATAAGTGTGCCCCTAATATTCTGAGAGTGTGAGATCTCCTTAGTCCAGGTACTCTCTGGCAATGCACAAAATGTCGCGAGACTGTATCATCTAATACCACTACTGTTTTGTAGGCCTCAAAATCTCGCGAGACTGGTCTATCTAATACGCAACCATACGTCAGTCAAAACATTGTGGTCACTAATGTCAGGAAATGCTAGGAGGACAGGAAGGTTTCTTCTCAATAGAAATTGAAAATATCCGATTGAAGAGTTCGCAGTAAGGTACTGTATATATAGGAAAAATATTTTCAAAGGTCATATTTTCTGTTCGGTTTATTTAAAGGAGTATAGAACAAAACAGTCATCTGGCTAGTTCTATATAACTTAGCCAGCTAGCTAACCCTAACTACCTATCTCTAGGCAATCTGGTTAACTCAAAGGCAGCTGAAGTGGCTAACGTGTCATCCAACTATTTGTAATTTTAAGGCTTAGGCTGAGATTTTTTAAACTTCGGACGGGTTTTTAATTCTGCGGATAGACAGAAAGTGGCTAATCAGCATGTAATAGCTGGTTATGTTGTGTGTGTTCGTACATTGCTACAGTCCAGTTTAACTACTCAAAACAGACAGATACGATATCAATAGCAATACACAACTGACAGGTGTTGTATGCTTGTATGAAGGTTTCACTCTTATTTATCCTGTTTCCTTGGAATTCCGCTTTAGCTCCACCACAAGAAGCAAAGCTTCATACAGAAAAGGCTTTTCAGGCTAAAGAGGGTCTGTGACTTCAGAATGCCTCTGTTCTATAAGAAGAAAAAGCCAAGCGAGGATTCCAAGAAACGACTAGAGTATCAGCTGTGTCTGGTGAGTATGTGTGTGTATTTATTTTTATAGCATTTCGATCTTCTCAGCAAAATGTTAGCAAATGGTAGTTGCCCACCTCATTTTTTTATAGCTTTCCTGAATGTGAATGATGCTGCACTGAACAACATAACTTACCTTTATGTTTCTTTTGTAGTCTAAAGAGGCTGGAGCAGATGATATACTGGACATTTCAAGCTGTGAGCTTTCTGAGGTGATTGACAATCAGAGACTCTTAGTTCTGCATTGTGAGTCAGTATCTTGTATCTTACACTGCTAGGACAGCCGATCACTTTCCATTAGTCAGCTAGGCCCAACAAAAACTTGGGTTCTCATTGTCTACTGTATTTTGCTTTAATTGTTCACCATGCACTATATAATAATAACATTGAGCTGAAGCTGAAATGGGTTTTACAGCAAGACAATGATCCAAAAAAATGCAAACCAACATCTGAATGGCTAAAAAAAAAACAAATTAAATGTTTTGGAGTGGTCTTGGCAGAGTCCTAACCTGAACCAAGCAGAGATGCAGTAGCAGGACCTAAAACAAGCAGCGATGTTGTATGCAAAAGTTTTAACACCCCTGGTCAAATAACATTTTTTTGTTGATTTTGTATGTGAAAATGAGGTAACATATTCTCTACAGGGGACTAACTCAAATATGACATTTTCTGCAAATTGTATTGCATATTTTTAACATGTTAGAACATAAAATATAAAATACAAAATACAAAAAAACATTTTTCACTAAATGTCGAATTCTGCAAATAAACAGTAATGGGGCATTAAAATGTGTAGAAATGCAAACTCTGTAGAGGATGTGTTAACTTATTTACTTTAAATTAACAAAATATGTAGTTCGTCCAGGGGTGCTCAAACTTTTGCACACAACTTTGTCTGAATTAAAGCAATTCTGAAAATATGAGCGGGCTCAAATTGCTCCAGAACAATGTGAAAGGCTTATATCTTATGAATTGTTGGTTGCAGTCATTTGCTGCTAAAGGTCATGAAACAGGTTATTTATTTTAAAGGGAAATTAACTTTCCACATGCCTGATTCACATGTTTGATATCTTTATCTTTTTCGTCCAGTATTGCTTTGTGTTTAAAAACCTAATCCAGTATTAACTGCAACAAAAAATAGAGAAAAATCAAGAAGTGGGCAAATATTTTTTTCACAGCACTGTATATGTATATGATGATAATGGATATTGCCTATAGGTGCCCTCCAGTGCCTTCTCCATCTGCAAGGTGCTCCAGAAAAAGGTCAGGTTCTACTTTTCAATCTACTTAAACAGAAATGCGGTCATATGCAAAGTTTGAGTGTCCCTGGTCAAATAAATGTTTAATTGATTTTCCGCTTCATATTGGAAAAAATAATGCAAAATTAATAAAATGTGGCCTGTGCACAAAAGTTATTGCACATTTGATATTTTTCCCAATATGTTGAACTCAGCAAAAATATATAAATTGTGCAGTAAAGTGTATTCCCTGTAGAAGAGGTGTTAACTTATTTTAACTTTTTACTTATAAAACTTGTAATTTGACCACGGGTTCATAAATATTTGCCTATTCCTGTAGACGTAGATTACAGCATTTTCCACTCACACTGCAGGTGTTCATTCTCCATGGAAACGAGCTGAGGTCACTGTTACCCAAAGGTTGCAGCATCAGTGCCCTAGCAACTATAAAGGTGTGAAATTCAAGCTTGTGACAAAGATTTGAAAAAATCTTCATATCACAGTTAACCCCAATGTAAATGCCCCACTTTGTCTATTCCTAAGGTATTGGACCTGCATGAAAACAAGCTCACCTCACTACCAGATGATATTGGGCAGCTGTCTGCCCTGCAGGTAAGATTGTTCTTTTTTTTTACTGTATATCACTGCATTTGTATGGTCAAATTGTCATTGGGTTGTTTATAGTGATTGTTGATATCGTTCTCCAGGTATTGAATGCAGAAAATAACCAAATCAAGACGCTTCCAGAGTCTATAGGCGATCTTCGGAATCTGCAGACTCTTAATGTAAAAGGTGTGGCTTTAAGTTAGAGTCAGGTTTAGCTATGCCCTAAAAAACAAAGGAGCCAAAGAAAAGTTCTTTGGAGCGATGCCACAGAATAGCCACTTTTGGTTCCCTAAAAAAGCTTCCAATAAATGTTCCTTTAAAGAACTTCATAAAGAATCATTCTTTAGGGAACCGAAAGTGATCCTTCTGTGGCATTGCTCTGAAGTGCCATGTTTAGCACCTTTGTTTTATATTTTAAATTCAACCTAAAATCAAAATCAACTTTTCATTTCATGTCTCTGGTCATATTAAGCACAATTCACCATATCATATCATATCATTTAAAAAGCCAAATTCTTATTTTCACATGATATTTGATCAAAGTGTTTTGACTAATGTCTGCCCTAAAAAGTCTTCTGTGTTTTGATTATGTCACTGTGCACCAGTGGGAGAGAAAATAATTAACCAATAATATCATGTTTAACCTCCCCTTCTTCCCTACCCACCTATTATTAAGTGAAACGCTCAGGTAGCTGCCTGATACCATGTTTCACTCAAGTAATGCCACGGTACGGAAAAAAACATGCTATAATTTTTGATTCATATTGACTTTAAAAAGTAGAACCTTTGCAGATACTGCTAATGTGCATCCTTGTGACCCATTAAGGAATTCTGATTTTTCACCGATTTCTCCTCTAATTCCACCCACTAGTTAGGACTCCCCCAATCACATGATACTACCAGCCGAACGCGGTCGGAGGATAGCGCCAACCGTCAGATCTGTTACATCAGCTAACAGACGCCTGCGCTGACTAGCATCGTGTTGGGTGACAGGGGGAGAAGGGGGTGCCATCCTACCCACCCAGAGAGAGCAAGGCCAATTGTACTTTCTTGGACTCCTGGCCACAGATGGCTGTAGCATCACCAGGGATTAGACTCACGATCTTCTGATAATAGGGCCAATGCTTAGACGATTGCACCACTCGGGAGCCCCCCAGTAATGAATTCTGAATGTGTGAATTATTATTTAGTTGGGTTTTTGTCAAATTATGATTTCACAAACATTAAGACCACTTGCTGAATGTGCTGTTGGTCCTGTGTGTGCCACCAAAGCATGGACTCTGCAAGATCTCGTAAGGTGATCTGGCACCAGGACATTAGCAGAAAACCCTTTCCTGTAAGCTGCGAGGAGCAGCTGTCACAGATTGGACTTCTTGTTGCAGCTCATCCCACAGATCATTGCTTTTATTGAGATCTGGGCAGTTTGGTGGTCAGGGCAACACCTTGAACTCTTTGTCATGTTCCTCAAACAATATTTGAAGACATTTTCATGAGAGTGAAGTTTGCAAATGAGCAATCACACCAAAAAAAAGTACACTTAAACATGGCTATGAAAAACTAAATGATTAAATAATGTTTTTCTAATTTTATGTTTAAGAAAGATCAGCGTTATCATGATGTAATTTTTCACAGTACAGCATATTGTCATATTACCCATTTCTGTTGGCTAAATTAAGTCAGAAAGTAAATGATGGTGAAATTGTGTTATCTGAAGGGAACTGCCTGAGTGAGCTGCCCTTGTCTGTGGGGTGCATGAGCAGTCTACGCACGCTGGACTTGAGTGAGAACAACATCAGAGAGCTGCCCAAAGAACTGGCCAATGTCCGCACACTGGAGGTAAAACTGAAGCTATGCTCACATTATAATCCTTATTGCTCAGTTCCCATTTTTCACAGCAGATCCTTCTTAGAATTGACCTATGTCTGCTATTAGTATAAACAAAACTCTGCCCTGAAAGGACCTGGATGAACGTCTGAATCTCTAGTGTCACGTGAATAATCCAAATGTGCCAAGAACAATAACAACAATTCAGTGAATTACTAGCCAAGTTTGCTAAATGACAATCTGGCAGTGATTATTTGTTCAGAACAGTTCAGCTATTCAGTCGGACCACATATGAATGGCTGCCTTTATGATTGCTAGGTTCAAATGGCACAAACACATTTTTTTTGTCCTAGTGTGACACAGATTTTTCAGAGCTGTGTGAACACAAAAATCTGATCTTTTCAAATCAGATTTGATTGACTTTTGTATTGGGTCCTAGTTCGGTTATAGATTAATATGTGGAGGTTGTTGGATGTCCTATTCCATAACCATGATCATTTATAAGGAGTTGCCACTTCCCCATTTTGCAGTTATTACAGTCTTCACCCTTCTGGGAAGGCTTTGGAGATTTTGGAATGTGAATCCGACGCATTTTTGTGCTGATATGCTGATAGCAGTTGAGAATGTTTCCCCCGACTCTGCATGCAGTCATTACATTGTCATATCCAGTGTGATCCACATTGCAGTAGTGGCTCAATTGAAGTTAGTAGCAGTAATACTGTAGTTTAAAACCATTAATGCATGTGGCCCTTTTCACCTTCTGTACCTAATCATGAACAGCTGATGAGCCGATCAGAGCTAAGAGTATTTGTGGTGAAGGCTTTGATGCTATTTTGTTCCTTTGTTGTTGATGATGCTTGTGGACCATTCGCATGATGGTAGTGATTTGGATTTTTTCATGCTTGTCCATATAACTAAATCCTTATCTATTAAAATAAATCTCTTATCTCTTGAACTGGTATATATTGTTGTCTTGGCACTTAATTTGGTTCCCTTTGCTGGCATACTTATACACAGCGGTTAAACGAAAGTTATTGAGTTATTGATCCATACTCTGTTTGAGGGACTTTCATAATTCATGCAAAGCACAGAAATTCATTTTTAAAAAAAACTCTTTTCTGTAAACTGTTAAGTGCTGCTGTTTTGGTGTCTACTGATTGCTCTCCAGGTTTGGCATCATATGAAAGAAGTCTATACATCTTTGGGAAAGATGAATTACAGCTGTGTTTGCTGTGTTTGTTGAATAAGTGTGCTGGTTGGATCAGTGTTCTTTTGCGCGTGAACGTGATTTGTTCAGACTAATGTCAGATACATGCCACATTAAAAAGATAATGTGAACAACCAAACTGAAAATGGAATTGCACCGTTTTTACTTGCAGTCTGAAAGTAGCTTTACACACACAAATGTGAAATGTGTGGCGAAAATTGGATCTGAGAGAAAAATAGGAATTGTGCTATAAGGCCTGTAATGTAATTGTAGCCAAATTGGGTCAGATCTGAATTGAAAATATTTGATCTATGTTACATTAAGGCAAAAAGTTGTACTTCAACCTGATAATTTGACCTTAGCCTAAGACCTGTTTGAGCACAGGCATGCCTTTGGTCTATGTGCTGGATGTATTTGGTCCGGGATATTTGTAATGAAGTGTTATTGTTAAAGCTAGGCTAAGCTCAAGGTCTCTTTAGTTAAGAGACAGCCAAAACATACCAGTGAAGAATCTTTCTGTCGGTTTGTGTCTATGTGTAGAGCCTGACTCTGGATGCATGTATTATGAACTACCCACCTGCCTCAGTCTGTACAGTGGGCACAGAAGAGATCCAGCGCTACCTGTGCTCAGGTAAGGATGCCATTTTAATATCCAGACACACCTTGTAATTACTGAATCAGTTACATTAATGTGCACCCATTGCTGACACAGGCATTCAGTTGCACAGAACAGCTTGTATAATCTCCAAAAAAGCATTTCCAATAGATTGAGACACTCTAGAGGAGCTGCAAGGTCACCATGCTGAGAAGCAAGCGTCAGTAAGGGGGGTATAAAGCTCTCCAGCCTTGGGCTGTGGAGCAGTGGAACTGTGTTCTCTGGAGTGATAGGCACTATTCAGTATCGTTGCGATGAGTTGGAGTGGGGTTTGTGGTCCAGAACTAATCATATCACTACATGACTTCACCAAGGATCTTTTGCCTGAATGCAATTAAATTTTCACAGCAAAGTTTCAACATCTAGTGTAAATCCTTTTCAGTAGAGTCTTATTGCTGCAGTAAAGGGAGATAAACTCCCTATTAAAGCCCTCAATTTCAGAAGAACCATTGATGAGCAGGTGTCTACAAATTTTCAGACATATTTGTATATGAAAGTAGATAAATATTTTGTATTTCTATTTTAAATTTCAAAATGGTTATGAACAACATACATTCGATGGTATGCGTTCAGCATACAGATGACCAAACTTTTATCTGGTACTGGAGCATCTTTTGCACTGTTGTTCTGACTTTTTATTTAATTGCAAACACACTGTAGAGGTGAGAGGTGCAGTCAGTATGACTAATTAGTAATGTGGTTTTGTAGAGTTGGGTGTGGAGTACTGTCCTCCCTCTCAGTACCTGCTGCCTGTACTGGAGAACGATGGCAGCAAGCAGAATGTTGACTGTGTGGATGGCGAGGATGTAGCCTGGCAGGTAAGAGTCCAGCAAATGTTTTTTTTAGTTTCAATACATTTAATACTTTATTTAAAACCTTTGCATTCTGTTCTTCAAAAGATTTCTCAAGAATCTCTTTCCGGCACTCCCGAGTGGCGCAACCGTCTAAGCTTTGGCCCTATCATCAGGAGATCGCGAGTTCGATCCCTGGTGATGCTACAGCCATCCGTAGCCAGGAGTCCGAGAGAGCACAATTGGCCTCGCTCTCTCTGGGTGGGTAGGATGGCCCCTCCTTCTCCCCCCATCACTCAACGCGATGCTAGTCAGCGAAGGCGTCTGTTAGCTGACGTAACAGATCTGGCGGTTGGCGCTTTCCTCCGAGCGCGTTCGGCTGTCCAGTGACTTTGCGTGAGCGGCAGTTCGAAAAGAAGCGGTGGCTGGCTTCACAGGTCTCGGAGGAAGCCTGTGTTAGCCCTCACCCTCCTAGCGTTGATAGCATCGTGTGACTGGGGGAGTCCTAACTAGCGGGTGGAATTGGAAACGACTAAATTGGGGAGATAATTGGGTAAAAATCAAAATCTCTTTCCATTAAAATTTATTTTGAAAGAATTCACCACTAAAAGGTTCTTTAGGGCAGCAGTTGTCTTTTTTTTTTAATTTTTTTTTTTTTGCATAAGGCGTTTTTGCACATCCGTTTGTGGATAGTAAGTGCCACTGCGACCCTCCTTGGTACCACTTTTTTCTGGAAACACCCTCCTTGGTACCACTTTTTTCTGGAAACACAGCCAGTAACCATTTAGGAGCCTTGATTTTTGAGAGTCTATAGGCAAATCAGATTGAGTGTTCTAATTTGGATGGGCATTTTCATTTACATATCTAACACAAACAAGTAAAGAGATTTATCCAAGAGTGTGACATTATGCTCTTTATTAACATAAAATACAACCCATTTTCTGTTGGTTTTAAACACAGTGTGATGAAGGTCAGGTTATATTGCTTTGCTTTATCTCACTGTTAATCTTCCCATCTGAACATGTTAAATGAGATCTTGACATGTAAATATTTTCCTGTGTATATTTTTCTGTTTTTAAAATTTTGTTGTAGTATTGTTTGGTGTCAAGCATTGTGATACGGCATTGGGTATCTGTATTAAATCTTTATTAAAATTTTAGCAACATCTATTTTTACTGCCTTGTTTGTTACACCTGTGTATTTCTTATATTTTTAAAAATATTGGATAGACATCACTAGCATGTGAAATAAGGTTTTATGTCCAAGATCCAAGATGTTCGAACACAGTAAATTTCAAATAGACTTGCTTATATAGTTTCTGACACACTGGTGTCTATAAAAATGGACAAAAGTACATTATATAGGTAGAAAAAGTAGGAGCAGCTGTCTTGAAGCCTGAGTTTTGCCCTTACTTTTGTCAGTTTTTATCACTAACAGCATAAATAATATCAGAAACCACATAACCAATTCTGTATGAGATTGCTTAACAGTTTAACTGGTTTGAGGCGAGTATGTGATGATTTAGGCATGTGTAATTGGCAGACTATATGTTTCCATTGTTGTTTAGCCACATTAGCATTGTAGCTCAAGCACCAAACTAAAGAAGCAAAATTCACACACCAAACTTGGCTGTCTTGGCTGTTCGACTAGATTTGGGGTAAGGAGGAAAATTGGGGGAAAAATATAAGAGACAGGGAATTGCTTTGTATATGGTACGATTTTTGGCAACTGGTTTGATACTAAGTCTTTCATTTTGCAGAGCAAATTCATGGATTATGAGAAGAGAAAGGTATGTTGGATTAGTCTTAAATGATTCATTGTTAAGTGTTGGAGTGCTTTGACTCTTTAGATCTCTCTCTCTGTCTATCTTGCTGGCTGTATCAGGAGCAGAAGCAGTTGGAGAAGCTGAACTTTGAGAAAGAACTGGAAGAAAAGCAGAGAGAACAAGCGCAGCTCCTCGTCCTCAGCAACTCCCGCAAAGAGGGCATGCTGCTGTCCGTCAAACTGGTATCCACAGTAACTGCTGATCCGTACACCATTAAAAGTTTTGGATCACCTAGTTTTTCCACAATGCTTTAAATACAAATGAGCATTATCAGTTTGCAGTAATTTAATATAGTACAGATGATTCATGTTTACTGCTATTAAACTGCTTTAAATGTGCAAAAGAAAACATTATTTAGGCAAAACTTATTCTCCATACCAAGGAAGACACTTAAACATATGTTTTATCTTGACTAAACTTTTGCAGCATTTTTTTTTTACTTAATTGAAAAAAAAAACAGTAGGGTTTCAGCATGTCATGTTTGGATCCCTAATAAGACACACTTTTGATTGGTAGTTCATATAAAATTGTTAGCTATATAATCACTTTAGAGCTGTGTGTGTGTCTCAGGAGCAGGAGCGTTTGGAGAAGGACATGTGTCAGCAGCAGAAAGCCCAGGAGGCTGAGAGGCAGAGGGTGCTGGAGAAAGTCCGGCAGGCGGAGACCAGCCTAGCTACCCGCATTGCCAACCTGCTGCTGGACAACAAACGGTGAGAGAATGGTGTGGTTGGATGAGAATGAGGAATATCTTTTTAAATTTCAGTTTGATTTGCTAATTCTAAAAATGTTGAGCAACATTACAAGTGCTGTCTTGTGAAACTGAGCTGATTATAAACAACCTTAGGCTTAGTATTAGGTTTAGGTCTTGGATTAAGGTTAAGTTTAGGTTGAGGCTTAGGGGAGAGGTATTCAAATCCACACTTTGAATTGCTGATAGGTATAACGCTAGATGCCCAGTTGCTTATATAACAGTTCAGTTAACTACCAGTGATTTCAAAATCTGAAACCAGAAACTGTATTTAAAGAAATGTTAAGTTAGTTAATGTTAGTGAAAGACAAAGTGAGCATTTACAAAGCATATATACTGAATAATCAAAGTAAAGTGTTACTTATAAGAATTGCAGAATTTCAGTGATCTACTCAGTGTTCCCTTAGGGACTGAACAATATTGTTTGGGAGTCATTTCGATATTTTAGGTTCTTGTGACAAGTACTGCAAAAAAAATGTATTAAAAATTGAAAATGAATCTAATTGTTTGTAGTTCAATAATCCAGTTAGGGCTGTATGATAAGTACAAAATACCATATTGCAATTGCAATATACTGTAGCTTTCAAAATATTGAAAACACGTTAGTAAACCTATGATGTGATGTAATCAAGGATTGGCCTTCAAGATTTCTGACCAAAAGGATTGGCCAGTATGCTCACAGCACACAGTAAAACATATTGCACATTTCTGTGATATAATTACTGCATTATATTATACGGCATTGTCATGCAATATATTGTGCAGCACTAGATGTGAATCTCACAATGCATGCATACTTATGTTTTCAGCCAAGCAAAGAGTGCTGAGTTTCTGCAGGCTCTGGAAGAAGACCAGTGAGTACAGACTGCAGCCTATGCGCACACATGCACACACATATTGCATGAATAAGTAGATGTACAGGTGTTATATAATAAAGTGTTGATAGAGTGTATACTTCTTATAAATCAGTTTAAACTATTTTTAATGTTTGGCCATTTTTTAAACCTCTGATTACTCACTTAATTGACAAAATAGTCACTAGATCACTCAATTACTACTTTAAGTAATTATAAAAATAACTTTTGTCTGTCTAAAGAATTCGCATGGAACACCTTACTGCCATCACACAGGAAGAAGCAAACTCTCTGAGGAAGAGAGAAGTAGCAGGTGAGCATGGGATATGTAGTTTATTTATTATTTTATGTTATTATTTTAAAAATAATCCCAAAATTCTATTGATCTCACGGCATGAAACAATGGAAACAAAATTTTGTTCAATTAGAAAGAAAGGACAAAAATATTATCTTAAAGCGATGATTCAGCCAAATGTGGTTAATCAGCTAAAATGTTTTTGGTATTCAAGTTCATTTCTGTAGTTTTGCTGTGGAGCCACAAGGCTAATGTAGCTATAAAGCAATGGAAACTTATAGCCACTTCCAGACATAAAACACTACTATGATGTGTCTACCTCACAATAATAACTCATGCTGTGTCTGTAGTTGCCATGCAGACCATGTTGTCTGAGAGCTACTCAATGAGGTTGCTCCAGGAGGCTAGTGAGACCAGGAGGCAGAGCATGCTGTCTGAAGCCTGCAAAAGGTACAATACAAGCAAATTTCACTGTCAGATTTATACAAAAATAGCATGTTTTTAAAATGTCCAACTCTGGTTATATCTCTTTCTCTCTAGCATGGAGACCTTGGACAAGAGGTTTGAGCATGTGCTGGCCCTGCAGCAGCTAGATAAAAGCAAAGCCATTAGCCAGATCCTTCAGGAGGTAAAGAACCTTCCAGTAAAGTAATGTATTTAGAGAGGGTGCTCTAGTATTTCTTTTAATTTTCCTTTTTTACCAAATTGTTGCTTTCTTTCATAAAGGACAGTATGACCCTGTGGAACTTGATCTTTGCTTTGTCCTACAGGAGGAGATGCAGAAGGCAGCCTTTGAAGCCCTGCAGCTCCAAAAAGACAGTGTGCATGGCTACATCCGCAATCAGGTAGATACAACTGGATATAACCATAAAGCAAAAGTTTGCCAAAACTGAATAAATACAGTTTCCCCCCTTAGCCCAAATATAGTTGATCAGCCAAGACATATTTGGTGACTGAAATTTGAAATTTGCTTCTTTCATTTTGCACTGTAACTACAAGGCTATTGTAGCTGAAGAGTAATAAAAGCTTGCCACTGAAATAAATATTTCAATCTATAAAAACGGTTGAAAAAAAAAAAACTGCTACTAAAGTAGCAGACTTTGGGCAGTTAGATTTTTTGCTAAACCATTGTTTTAAGGTTTAAGACCAGATGTCATCTCACAGAGGGTTTTAAACCTGCTTTACTTGATTTTGCCTGATCATGGCCTCTTAATATACATAGGCAGAGCTGACTAGAATGGGATTCACATGGCTACAAAATAGTGAAAACACAACCTGGCTAGAATGACTACGTTATCCTAGACATTTAAACATATTCACATCCATTGGCTTACAGTGTTGAGGTAGATATAAACAAGGGCTTTAGAAATTAAATGCTCAGAGATCATTTCCATTACAAATATTCTGTTTCTTCTTTTTCTTCTTTTGATTTGGCTAGCTTTTTCAGTCCACCCCTTCTGCTTACTGCCGCCAGTCCAATGCTCATATTGCTCAGACATTACTGGTGGCTGTGTTTTCTCATTTGTTCTGTTTTTTGGCTCCATTGGGCCCATTCACCCTCCCTGTGTCTCCATGTCTCTAGATTAAGCTAATTGAGGCAGAATTAATGCAGCTGACAAAGCTGGAGGTTAAAAGGAGGAATCTGGATTCAGAGAACATGCAGGTATGTTTGGAAAGTAGGTGCTGTGGTGGCTTCATCTAAGGATGTGGGAAGGTGTTCTGAGTTGGGGTTCTGAAATTTTAAGCAGCATATGTACAGCATATACACACCCTCCTGAAAAATATATGCTTTTTTTTCTTTTTTGGATAATTTACATGAAATAGGTGAGATGCGACAATGCACATATAATTGACACATCAAACCACGATTGCACACACTGCTCACGCTGGAAAAACTGTATGCAAATGATCTGAGTGGTGACCAATTAGACTGTTGAACCGTGAACCACAGAAACTGTGTAACACCCAAGGTTAAACTGCACACTGAAAATTAAATACCTGAATGCATATGAGCGGGACATATAATGGTTGGAAAATAAGTATATTCAAGATGTGGCAAATAGTTGTTGAATTTTTTACATTTAAAAAACAATGTTAGGCTGCTTTGGGTCACAGGACTAGTCTGCAACTCTGCATACTGCATACTCTTACTTGCTTGTGTTTTAGGAACACATGCCCAAAGCAGCCAACAGTTGGTGAGGGAAACGTTTTGGCTCTCTAGAATGAAAATGCACAGCTACTACATGTTTTGAAAGTATATAAAAAAATCATAAAATGAAAATAATTTAAACTCTGGCCTAAAACAAGCAAACACAGGTCGTTACTGTGATCAGATTGTTATCTGTTAATTATTTTTAGAGGCTGCAGTTAAACAGTCCTGAAATTTGGGAGTGGCGCAGCCCTCTAAGGCACCCCAACGTCTTCCCATGTCCCTGGCTTCATCTGTAGACCAGTGTTTTTTTGTGTGTGTAGAATAGCACTTATGTTGTTCAGTAAGGGATGTAGAGGCCTATATAACTGTTTTACTTTTCAGTTGTTTTGTTTCAATGAAAATTAGGGGTGTAAATCTTAAATTCAGTTGTGATTCAGGAAATGATTCAATATTATCACAAAATCTCAAACTCCGTCATGATTTGATTTGATATAAATAAACATATTGTAACAAAACATATTGTTGTTATTATTATACTATTATAATAACATTAAATAATGTATTAAAATGGGTTATTAATATATTCAATGTATAATGTATAAATATAGGTGATATATTATTAGTTTGTTACTTATTATTGTTTAAAAATATACTGAATGCACAAATGTGAAGAGATATGTACACATTTGTGGAATATGCAGTACTGTGCCAAAGTTTTAGGCATCTTAGAAAATTATAATCTAAAAGCTGTTTATTTGGGCAGTAAGCATGTATTTGCATACATAAAAACTCAAATATTACACTTAATACAAATAACATTAATAAAGTAAATGGTGGTTTTAAGTTTGTCAGTGTGTTTGCTTAACCAATCCTCTCCTTGTGGAGTTCTCATCAATTCTTTGTTGGCTAATCAGTACTTCGTTACGTTAAATCAGGTGTGCTTGTGATGCAATTGAACCAACCCACGCAATGACTGGAGAAGTGTCCATGAGAAATCTGGAACCAAACTAGCTCACATCAACTACTTTTCAAAATTAGAAATTCTTGTGTTTTTTTATGGTATTTATGTTTATTTGCATTTATTCTAAAGATATATGATGTTTTTACTGGCAAAAACAAATGGTTTAAACCATAATGTTTAGGTGTTTAGGTGCCCAGTACTATACATAATAAAACAATACACCAAGCCCTTTTTTTAAAATCAGTATAAATTAACTTTGAATATCTGAGAATTTTATTTTGGCCAAAACTAAATGAGTGCATAAATATTACTCCAAATTATTCCACAATTGGTCCACTTGACTCACCACCTTCAGATTGATGCATCACGATGCATTCGTGCATTTTTACACCCCTAGTAAAAAATTCTAGAATTTGTAGATGAATTGCATCAGGTTCCCTGACCATTTTTGCGTCCATCAATATTTTTGTTCTTTTTGACATGTTCTTCTGCTTCTGTCACTATCCACCTGGCACCATATTTACCAAGCCAAGTTGTATTTTTTTATTCTTATTGACCTCAGTTTCTTTATTTTATTGTGACAGGAAGTGTTGGCGGAGCAGAGGACAGCTCTGACAGACATGCTGCAGCAGTTGCTGAAGCAGAAGGACCAGAGAGAGATGGAGCTTAAGCAGAACTTGGTAAGGCCACTGCTGTCCCAGGACTAGCTTACACAAATTTAAGGGGAATTCCACCGATTTTTCTAAATTTCTGCATAATTCAGTGGTTGAGATGTAAATAAAATGATTGTAAACAGATGTAACTATTGTATAACAATGTAAAACAATGTCTCAGGCATCAGACGGCATGTTTATAACCTTTTCTTATAATAACTCTGTGAGAGAGCTTTTAGAGGCATTACGCTATGCGTTTGTGAACAGATACATTGTAAACAAAAGATGTTTTAAATACTTCTTACATGTACTTAGAAAGTAGGGAAAGCTTGACTTGACTAAATAAATATTGTTAAAGAAGAGAGCATGTCATGTTTTGGTTTTGAACAATGGTGTTAAAGAAGACAATGCTTATTTTCAAAAATGGTCAAGTTTTAAACACTGATATTTAAACACTGGTACAGTCAAGTTTTCCCAATTAGTGAAACAGCTCCACTAAACATCGTGACGCATTGAAGTGCCACAGAAAAATGTTAAACACTATTTGGTTTTTCAATAGTTAATGGCTAATACTTTCTGTATAACCCACTGAACACTTTTTTACCATGACTTCTAAATTCCGGTACTTGGCAAAACTCTTACATAGCATTGTGAAGTATTTATGTACTGCTTGCTAATAGTGAGAATCCATTCTTGATCATTGCTGTGTGGTACTTTAGTCCTTGTTAAGCCAAGCTCTGTTGTTGGCTGAAGGTATGGATGTCATTTTCTTTTAGATGGAGATGGAGCTCAAGAGTGACTCCACTCAGCAGAATTACTGGATGATCCAGTATCAAAGGCTGTTGGATGCAAAGCCGCTGTCTCTACGAATGCAGGTTAGCACACTTGCAGCCCGTTCAGCAGTTCGACTCCTGCAAGTCTTGCATCTCTTAATCATAACTAAGAAGCAGAAACACTCTCCTCTTTCTTCCTCTTAGGAAGCTGGTGTGGATAAAGATCTAGTCAGTTTGTTGTGTAAACTGTCTGCCCAGCACTACCTGCCAGTCATAGCTCATCATCGAATCACAGCAGAGGCTCTACGTCACATGACCACCCAAGACCTCAGCAAGGTCTGTCCTCCTTCTCTTATGGATTTTTATTTCTGCTTGTATGTTTAATAATGTTTTATGGTAATTAGTAACCTCATCTAGTAAAAATCTTATGTTATTCTTAATCATCATCTCTCATTAATAGAAAAAATACAACACTCTCACCTTACCCTAAAATGCACAAAACCTCAGGCTTCAAAATGGCTGCTTCTACTGTTTTACTATGCAACATACTTTTGTCTTTTATTATAGTGAGCACTATGCCATGCAGGGACAGAAACCACAAAAGCAAATCTATTAGAGATCACGTAACAAACAGATACGGTTTGATGCATGTGTGTGATGATTTAGGCATGCAGATTGCATGATGCTAATTGCTGGGGTTTTTGTTAGTCATATTAGCATCAAAGCACAAGTGCAAAACTAAAGACACGTTTAGCCTGAAGTTTGTTTACTTTTTCACACAGTCTCATATATTTAATTCTACATTTTTGTCTTCTTGCTATCTTAGCTGGGGATCAGTGAAGTGGGTGTGCAAAAATCTCTCCTCCACTGGGCTAGAGAACAGCCAAGTAAGCAACACCATACTTTCTTAAGAGTGCCAAGTCTTTTATTAAATGAATTGATGTTCAGCTCTTACAAATGTTTTGGAAGTTCATATAATGTACTTTACTCTCTGGTCAGTGTACCTTACTCAGTTCATTTGATACATGGACAGTTACTCACTAGCCTACATGTTCTCTCTTTACTGCACTTTGTCCTACTATCTCTTTGAATTTGTCAGTAAATTCCCTTGTATATTATGTACCTAACATGTGTCAAAGTAAGATGGTGAACCAGTTGTTTTGTGTAATGTATGCAATGTTTGTAATGTGTCCTATAATTGTTTATAGAACAATTGTATTTTGAAGTTGTTTATATTAGAAGTCACTTAAATGTCTCACTACTCAGGTTCTTCTAAGAAACTCCAGGAGGAACCAGAAGCTGGTCCACTTTTACCCAGTGCCCCCCTGCAACAGCAGCTGACCCCACCACTGACCCCTAGCACCCCCCTAACGCCTCAAACCCCTCTTACGCCTACAGCTCCCAGCCCTGTGGATGGACCTGGGAGCTCTGAGTGTGTAGTGTGCATGGAGGCTGGGGTAAGGCTCAGAGCTGACCTCTTCACCCATTCAAAGTCTATAATAAAGTTATTATTGTCATTCAGCTACACATTTGATTCACATTACATAATGTATTATATGTGTTGCGTGGCCCTCGGCAACTGAAGAGGCCACATAAAAATTCCACAAGACAACGTAATAGTGCTCAAAGGGTTTTTGATTTATTGTGAAAAAAAAGAAAATTAAAATAAAATAAAACACATTTTTGTGATTAAAGTTCAATAAAACAATGGTAATAAACTTACTTTGACTAAACAGAAACCTTGGGTGGGAACGTGTATATATATATATATATAAAATCTTTTTTATCCTAATGCCCCCTTTTTTTAATAATCTATTTCTCATTTTTACATGAGAAAAAATACGGCAATTTCCAGTATGATGACGTTTTATATTTGCTGCATATTATGCATATTATACTAGATTAAAAGGCCAATATTTTATAGCATTGAGATAATAGGTAAAGCTAAGCTAAGGTAAAAGAGTTTTAACAAGTTAAGCACAAAATGTTGTGAAGTGCACAGGACGTTAAGAAGTTAAGCCTGTTTGCATACATTTCTTTTAGACCAATAACTAAGCATTTAACATAATGCAACCCCATTTGCAGTTAAGACCAACCTGTTTGGATTTTTGTCCCACCTATTTGGAGTTGGTCCAGCCTGCAGAAATACATGTTTGGTCAGGGTTGATTCTTGGCCAGGGTTGATTCTTGACCAGTGACTCTGACTCTTGGCTTGAAGAACAGTTTAATGGAGGCGTATGTAATACAAGAAAGAGTTTGAGTAACGTGAGTTAACAAAATGTAATAAGAGGTTGTTCAAGCTGTGTATGCTATGTAGAATCTTGAAGCCTTGTTCTATAGGAGTGGGTAATTACATGTTAAATTAATGTTACATTAATGAAATTAATGTTTAAATCTTAAATATTTATATATATTATGTATTTTACCATTTTTTTTAAAATACTGTACTGTTGTCCAGAGCTTGCACCTAATTCACTCATGTGTGTGTGTGTGTATATGTATATATATATGTATATGTGTGTGTATGTGTATATACATATATATGTATATATATGTGTGTGTATATATATATATATATATATATATATATATATATATATACACACACACATATGAGTGAATTAGGTGCAAGCTCTGGACAACAGTACAGTATTTGAATGGTAAAATGGTAAAATACATAATGAAAAGGTTTGAGACTCATGATGTACGCTCTGTCTATTTTTCTAGTGTCAAATGGTCTTCCTGCCCTGTGGACACGTGTGCTGTTGCCAGGTGTGCAGCGATGCCCTGCATTCATGCCCGCTGTGCCGCAGCACCATCTCTCAGCGCATCCGCCTTTACCACGGATAAACCCGGCAACCTTCCAAACTGCATCCTGATCCGGTCTGACCATTCACGCACTCGGGTCATTCCTACAACTCGTCCAGTTTCACTCTACCTGCATGAAGTGGTAGGCTGCGATTCGTCTGTCGTTTAAAATGCTGTACAATTCATTCACTGCTGCACTTTCACACCTCAACTGGCCAATAAAACGGGAGTATTTCTTGCAGCAAAACTAGATGCTACTAGACAGTGACCTCATTTAACCTTTATATCTTATTATGTAAAATACCAGAAACTGTAAGATTGTGCTGTGCTGTCCTGTACTTAGAGTGATATAAAAGAGAAGGGAAGTACTTAAAGATTACTTGGTTCTGGTTCCAATGTTATGTACTTGCACTATTTTAAGTATTTGTGCCTTTTTTGTGTCTTATGTCTGTTCTAACCAAATCATGACTGTTACAACACAACACTCATCTACTTAAAAAAAAAAACAAAAGAATGCTTAAAAACATGACTTTCCAATCTTGACATGCTTGGGTGACTTAAGGTCAGCAGTTTTTTTCTGTCTGTGCCTTAAAATGGTTTCCACTGCAAATTACCAATGACCTGACTACAGGAATATTCTTGCTTTTTTCTATCTAAGTAATCTCTGTCTGCCATCTGTACAACGTACAGTTGATTACCACGGACAGTAAATCGGATGTTTCCTAGAAAACTCAGTGACTCAAAAAGCTCTTACAGTAGAAAACAAGTGGCCATTATACTTGTTTTTTGGCATCTAGTATTTGTGTGCCCTTGGGAAATGTGTTCAAAATATTGTCTGTGGTAATCAAAAGTATCTTGCAGATGCAGCAGATAGATGTTCGTTTGAAAAACAGAGTAAACACCATTCCTAGATTGTATTCCAACCTAAAAGCCCATAGACCAGTAGATTTCAATTCCAGTTCTGGAGGGCTGGTTTCTAACGGGTGTCTTGGCGATTTCCCTGCTTAAGCCCATCTCTTTATTGTCAGGTTTAGTAGGTGTGCCAGAGCAGTGCCGTCACCAAACTGTGCTGGACACTGGCCTGCCAGGGCCAGAAGTGTGTACCCCTGCCATAGGCCACTGAAGTGTTTGCTGTATTCCCATTAAGTGAGTGCTTTCATACCGGTAGTTGTGTTTGTCATCAAGGTGTTGCATTTCACCTTTATGTTATATATGTAGTTTCATTTCACTCATTGCATCACCTTCCAGCCATATATACCTGTCAAGCTGTACATAAACAATCACTTGCCTTGCCTCAATGTCAAAACAGCCTTCATGTTCATAGAAATATTCACCCCAAAATATAAAACATTTTCACATATTACCCGACATCACCAAGTCAAACCTCGTCAAAGTTATTGCCAAAAAGTAAACTCAAAGACAAAATTGTGTTGATATAATGAATTTTATTCATGTAGAAATGATGTATAAATATAAATCACATAAATTCAACACATGACTTTTCAGTGGATGTTCTGTCAGTTTTTGTTCTTTCGATGAAAACCACTTCTGAGGTCCACTCCCATCATTTTTGATCCCTCTAAGACCTTTTACCTTTCTCGATTTATACAATGATTTATGTTTCTTTACATTTAGGCCAGACAGTTTGATTATAGCCAAAACCTGAAACCTTGCCACAGCATTTCAATTCAAATTGGTTGCTGTCACTAGCCACTAGCTAAAGAAGTCCTTACCAACTTCTGTCCACTTAAGTGCTCTTATACCTAAGCATGCTTTGAACTGTGACTCATATAGAAAGCAAAGAAAATGTCATTTAGAACTAAATGTATGTGAAGGATCTGAATGATCTAGCTAATAAAATATAAATAACTAAATATGTGTTTGCATGTTAAAAAAACCTGTTTAAAACCTGTTTATAGTATAAATGTCTGTCATTTCAGTCTGTTTTTTTTGTGCTCTGTTTAATAATGCGATCCAGCTACTAAACAAATCCGGTTTCCTTACGGCACTTACATCTCTGTACATTGCTCTCGTTTTTTTAACTGAATGTTAAGCGTACAACACTATATTAAAACGAGGAAAGGTTCCCTCGATCAGTTTCACTATGCTGTACAATCTTTCATGCATATTAACTTACTTATGTAGAAAATGTGCTGAAACCAAATAGTCCACAGTTTAAACTTATACATCATATTCTGGCTAAAAGTATGACTGAGTAGGTCATTGGTATTTGTTAATATTAAAGTATTGCCTCTATTCTACCCATCTCCAGTGCTTGATATAATATCTATTGTTAGGCTCTCTTTAAATGACATTAAGCTGTGTATGTTTACCTTACATGTGAAGCCCTGTCATTTTGTCTTGTGTTTTCCATCATCATACACTGCATCTCTGTATGGATTGTGGAAAGATTGTGACTTTTTGTATCTCCTGTGGTAGAAATCTACCATAGGTTTTTATGTCATTTTATTTTATGTCTGGAGTTTGTCAAATTTTAATGTTAGTACATTATTAGTGTGATATTAGGAATCTTCAAAATAAACTTGCTTGACAGCCCCCAACTGAAGTGTCCCTTTATAGCTGCAATGTTGAACAACACAATCTTAAAATTACTTTTTATTTAACACTTACTTACATGTAAATACATCTGATAATGACATATATTCATTTAGATTCTTGATATAGCTGCCTTTAAAAAATCTGTTTTAAAGTTTCTTTTGTTTAGTTTGGATATTTAAAAAGTAAAGTGATATAAATACAGTTAAAGTAATATGATAATTGATCTGTTTCATAGCAGATATATTGTTTGAAATGGTGGGATTATTTCAGCATATAGCATAATTTAGTTCAGCAGCAATCACTCTTAGTCCAGTTAATAATGCTAATACTAGAGTTGTGTTGGTTTAAAAATTAGAAAACTTGGTCAGTCATTCAACAGCAAGTGTCCATTGCCTCTACTAGTTGTGAGGGATGCTGAAGTTGAGTAAAAATGGTTCTACACTTTGTCCACCTGCTTCTTCGGAGCAGCCATCTATTGCCTTTGTATGGGTGGAGTGATGTGAGTTCTGATTGTCCTCAACCAGTGTTATTGTCCTTGTCATGCCCTTCACTCTGAGCGTCCACTGGCTGCCCATCTAGAACTGACGCTGTTGAGGAATCACTCCTCAGCTCAGATGATTCCAGGTGGGCTGTTTCATCTGCAGTCACATAGGTCTGGTCCAGGCTTACCTGAAAATGATCCTCTTCCTCATGTTTTTTTCCACTTTCTTCCATGTTCTCCTCTTTCCCTGTCTCTTCTGTAGAGAGATACTCCTCCTCTTCATCATCTGCCTCAGACTTCATCTCCTGAGGCCCTTCGAGAAGGCGCATGGTCACTTGCTAGAAAAAAGATCATTTTGTCACTGGCACTACAGTAAAGCCTCCTTATTCATTCATATATGTTCAGTATTATTCATCTGTTCATCATTACAGAGAACAAGGATCAATGTTTCTACAGCATTATAACTGCAATGAAGGCTTGGAATCTCCACTAAGTTAAACTGAATGTTGGTTTTAGAATGTTTTAAACCCAGTTTGATCAGTATGAACTCGAATTTTTGAAAGCTGCATGCCAGTGGTTGACATTCAGTTTTAGACCATAGTTTCAGAATGCTCCATTGCAGCATTTCATGGTTTGACTAACTGACATGCATCAAGCTTACAATGGGTTTGAAAAATAATGTTATAATAATGACAGAGTACAGAGGGGATGTTGATGTTGTCGCTGTTTCTGGTGTCATCAGTGTGTGGTAGCCTGTAGCCTTAAAAAGTGATTTCAGTGTGGACAGTGCCGTGCACAACATTCTAAAACCCCACTGCCTTGTTGTGAAGGATGAGTGTGATTTCTGCTTCAAAACATAGAAATCTATGTACAGATATACAGTGAATAGAGAAAATGTGGACGTGTCATGCTTAAAAATATATTAAATTAAGTTCATATATAAATAAAATGTCAAACCAAGTTGCATTTATTTTAAACAGATCCATCCAGAGACTGTACTTTTCTTTTTGGCCAAGTGAAGCGGCTGGTGCTTTGCCACTGCCCTGCACAGTTTCAGTAATCCCCTGCCCCAACTCACCTGATATAGCTCATCAGGTAATTATCAAGCTCTTCATTAGCTGGATTAGGTGAGCTGGGGGCAGAGAATCATGGCTCCCCAGGCTGGGAATTGAAAATCACTGATCCAAAGAACTTCATTAAAGTTTGCCAATGATTAAATGGTTAAATTGTCCAAAAACTTTTTAAGGCTACTGCAGGCAGGTATGGCAGGTATACTGTTGCAGTGTAGTCAGGACTTATCACTTACTTTGCAATAACTCGCAAAAATATGCAAAATATCGCATCTTTTTAGGTTGCATATGATTGCATAAGATTACAAATCGTTACAGGGTTACATATGCCTGCAACTCAGCAGGAAGTTTCATAATATGCTGCATCATTTCCATGATCAGCGTAACAGTAGTTTTGTGCTTCTCATTTTCATTATTGGTTGGATAATACTGTTGTGTGTGTTGTTCCTATTTAATGACTGGTCAGACAAACATACCTTGATAGTCTTAAGGAGAATCTTTAGAACAGAGTCACCAGTGTAAAACTCCTGCATATCGAACTGTGTCCTCAGAGAGTGGAACAGTCCATTCATCACCCGCTTCACCTGTATCAGACGTGTTATGCACACATTCATGTCCCAGTGAAATGCAGAGTACAAACAGGCTGAGTACATGAACGAACCTGCTTCAAACGTAACAAGCAGCTGTTTGAATGTTAGTCTTTTTTATTGTTTTATTGTTGTAATTAAACCAGTGTTAATATCTTTAAATATATAAATCCAGTATAATTTTGACCACTGGAGAAGAAGGAAACCAGTACTGTTCCTTACCTGAACAGCCAACTGGCCCTTCAGCTGTTGTCTCTCACTCTCTGCTTCCTTCTGTAATGTTGCACACTACAACATACAAAAAGAACAACATATATTAAGACTGAAACATATGCATAAAAATCTTCATGTAACAACAAAAACAAAACAAAACAAAAAAATGGTTAGACAGGTACCTGTTCCTGCAGCTGATTAATGACTTCTTCCAGTTTCACTCTCTGCTCATGCACTGCAGCAGCACACCTCTCCTGCCACTCCAGCTCCAGCTCAGCCTGTTAGAGCAATTAGATAAGTTGTCAAATTACATATATGTCTGGGTATGTTCACACAGGTATATGTCTATTGGCATCTGCATGCACAGTATGCATGAACATTTCTATTGTTAAAATTAGTTTTGCTTTACTAATTACTTCATAGAGAGAGAGAGAGAGAGAGAGAGAGAGAGAGAGAGAGAGAGAGACAGACTGAGAGAGAGAGAGAGAGAGAGACAGACTGAGAGAGAAGAGCTGTGTGCTGTGTTTTGTATGTGTACAGCATGAGCATGACAATTGAATTTCACATAAAACAGTATACAACACCTTCAGTTTGGTCAAATGATGTTTTAAGCTACTAAATGTTACAGAAAAGAGAACAGAATTATTGGCCAGAGTTTAAGGAGAACCTGATCTTGCCTGTTGTGTGTTGTTACCGGTGGTGATGATGCCAAATTACAAGAATTAGCTTTCGCCAAGAGCGGCAGAACAGCTATTCAGAGTAGAAAAACATGCCGGTCTTGCACACAACAAAAAATATGTATCAAATGACAATCAACATTTACACACACACACACACACACACACACTATATTGCCAAAAGAATTCGCTCGTCTGCCTTCACACGCATGTGAATTTGAATGACATCCCACACTTAATCCATAGGGTAAGATATGATGTCCATGAAGCTCTCTACGCACTGTTTTTGAGCTAATCTCAAGGCCACATGAAGTCTGGAGGTCTGCAGCAATTGACTGTGCAGAAAGTTGGCGACCTCTGCGCACTATGCACCTCAGCATCCGCCGACCCTGCTCTGTCATTTTTCGTGGCTGAGTTGCTGTCGTTCCCAATCGCTTCCACTTTGTTATAATACCACTGACAGTTGGCTGTGGGATATTTAGTAGCGAGGAAATTTCACGACTGGACTTGTTGCACAGGTGGCATCCTATCACGTTACCACGCTGGAATTCATTGAGCTCCTGAGAGCGACCCATTCTTTCACAGATGTTTGTAGAAGCAGTCTGCATGCCTAGGTGCTTGATTTTCTACATCTGTGGCCATGGAAGTGATTGGAACACCTGAATTCAATGATTTGGATGGGTGAGTGAATACTTTTGGCAATATTGTGTACACATACATACATACATAGATACACTAATATAATATATATATATATATATATACACACACACACACACACAAAATACAGCAAGAAAATCAATTACCTTTGAACCATAATGAAAATAAAAATAAATGACAAAGAACTAAAAACAAAACACTGAGAAACAGACAGAACACAGTCACCCTCATGAAGCTCACCTGTTGTCTGGTGTGTGTTTCAGTGCAGGCTCTGGCTCTCCTGAGCTGCCCTCTTCGCTGCTGGTTCTCCTCTTCGCTGCTCCTGCGCTGCTCCTCCTGCTCCATCAGAAGCCGCTCCCGCTCCAGCCGCCACTTCCTTTTCCTGTCTAACAGCATCTGGCAGCGCGCACACACAAACACATCACATAAAACATAAACACATTATCAAGATCAACCTTGAGATGAGATAAACAGTTCATTTGATAGTTTGAGGAGACACTTCATATGAAGCGTTTTAAATCGGAGCCTCCATTTCTCTCTTACACACACCTGGTCAAGGGCCTCTTTCTCTGCTCTCAGGTCGTGGATCTCCTCCTCCATCATTTTCATTGTCAATTCCATCTTTCTGCACTTCTGTTTTTCTGCTCTCCACTGCTGCTGAGACTGATCTCCCGCATTCTTCAGCTCTGTTCATACAAATGTATTACTGTGCTAGTGACGTTTTATACAAACTCCAATAAAACTGTAATATAAGACTAATAATGTACAAATAAAACCCAATAAAATCAACATAAATAACACCAATATTGTATAAATATAACCCAATAAAACTGTAAGATAAATAACACCAAACCTTGACCCCCTTTCAGGCCATGAGTGCCCAATTCCACTCCTGGAGGGACAGAATCCAGCAAATTTTGGTCAGGCTTGGGGCTGGGCCCCCCTACTTTCTATACAATGTAAATCAGCCTGCCTGATAGTGGTTGGTCAATAATTTCGGGAGATACTGAAGTCCCACAGAACAGTATTAGCAAAATTCCCACCAATAAAGCACAGATAATAAGTTGTTTGTCTTACAAAAATTTTCTTATCTGTCCGACCCTACTGTAAATGCATGTGAAATCAGTAAAAAAGGACCTCACAGTCTTGCTCAAATCAAGACAGCCTCATCAGATTAATCAGTCAGAACAGCGTCACTTTGCAGCTTAATCACTGCAATCTATTAATAACCACCATCAGAAGTGGCCACTGTTTCTCTACCTTCCACTTGAGCCTGCAGGGAGTTGATGAGAGCACAGCAGCTGCGGCCTTCCTCCAGGGCAGCATTGAGTTTGGTCTGCAGCTCTGCAGCCCTCTGCTGGTGACGTACTGCCTCATCCTGTAGCTCACACACACGAGAGGAGGAGGAACTCAGCTCTTCAGCCAGACGTACCTGTTGGGACGATGGTTAAAACTGGTCTATATGTTTTAACACTACAAATTCCATTTTATGATTCACTATTCATAACCAATTACACTCTTTTGAACATTCGGCATCAGCAGGATTTGAACTCACTATCTGACAACAGGACAAAACTTCAAACAGCTACACCACTTAGGAGCTCCTGTTAAATTTCTTAAAAGTCAGTGTTCTTTAAGTACTGGCAATATCCAGAATGCTCAGAAAGGCTTATTAGTATACCGGTCTGTCATATTGGCCACCCCTACTATACACTACACAATAAACTACACAAAGAGTAAACATCAGGCAATAAAGAATAAGGATGTCACACATTTTAGACTGAAAATATGAACTTCAAAACAATGTATTAAGATATAAAACACAGTCTCTTCTGAGGATCTTATTTACTGTCTTTCACAGAAACCAATACCAATGTAAAAAGTGTCTGGATGCTTCATATTTCTATTTTTGTATTGTTTAAAGTTCAGCTGCACAGTTTTATAAGATCACCGTTTTACACAAGGACCAGAGTTGGAGTAACACAGTACAAAGCACCAAGTTATAGGAATGTGGTTACTTTTTCTCCTCTCTTTATCCTTTAGAATTAAACAGGCTGTGTTTTTTGCTACTGTCCCTTTAAGACTGATATACAATAAATGAGCTCTGTTCTGATGGGCTATCCTGGACTGCCCTTATTCAAACGCATTCAGAGTTTAAACATTCCTTATAACTTCTATATAAGTGGACAGGGCTTTACTGTAGTAAACTTACATATTACTTAAAAAAAGCAAGAGAAATTCAGTTCAGGGGCCTCAAAAGTAATGCCATTACAGAAAGAAGTAAGTAGTAATTTGTAACTTTTGCAAACTTTTGTTTTAAAATAAAATTAGTATTTTTTGGAGCCAAACCAATCTGTGCATGTAGTTACAGCTCCGTAGAAACAAGAATCTTGACCTCAGAATCAAAAATCACATCAAATTTGAAATGGTGTGGCATTACACCCCTAACAAACAATAAACACAGAGACAGAGTCTTGTTTATACAATTAAACTTCTTATGTGCCCTTCATTATTTCTGAGGTTTACATACAAGCGATGTTTAACAAATAACTTGACTGTCAGTGAAGTCCACTGGCACAAGAATTGATCGTACTTTTTCTTGTTCAGCTTGTAGTAGCCTGGCATGGTTGTGCTGGTTGCTGTTCTGCATAGCATTGTTCCTCTGTTCCATCAGAATGTTGCTTTGCTCCATGTACCTAACGTTCACATACACACACACACACACACACACACACACACACACACACACACAAAGGGACAGTTGAGAAATGCTGACATCAAGGACAAAGCAAATACATTTCAAGCCTGTATACAACTCATGCACCAGAAATTTCCATAATTCTCTACTGACCATTTGAAAGTACAAGACACGCATGAAGGATAAAAAGTGCTTTCCTGATGCAAAAACTGTACAAAAGTATAGACACTTGCTCGTCCACTTCTGACATCAAGAGTATTAATAGGGAGTTTGTGCTCTCTTTGCTGCAGTAACAGCCTCTGCTCTTCTGGGAAGGCTTCCTTCCAGATGTTGGAACGTTACTTCTGAGATCGGACACCATTCAGCTACAAGAGCATTAGTGACGTCAGGCACTGATGTTGGCTGATTAGGTCTGAAACCCAAATGGTGCACCAATTCACCCTGACTGTTTTCAGTGGAACTTATTTTAAAGATGATCAATGATGCTTCAAATGTCCCATTATACTACCAATGCTGTTCTATTGAGATTATACAGCTGTATGCACGCAACTGAAAACTTATGGCAGTGATGGATGTGCCTTAAACAGACTAATCCAGTAACTAGGGTGTCTGCATACTTATGGATATATAGTGTATGAAAGAGACTCCAAAAGTAGAGAGAACTATTTTGGAGAACATGCCTTTGCCTCTGTTCATTGAGCTCTCCTATTTTACGGTTCTGCTCTTCCACTTTAGATCCCTTCTCAAAGACCTCCTTCTTCAGAGAGGTATTTTCCTGCAGATCAGAAACACAGAGCATTTTTAACAATTATCTCAGTTCCATACCCATTTTGAGTGTTTAATGAGGCAAATCACACCTGAACGATTCTCTGTATGCTTTGCAAGATCATGGCTGTTTCCAGTGATATGGAAGATAGACCAAAAGAACAGAATCCTTGCTTCTGTAAGTCATCCACCTGGAAGAGAAAGATCATACTTTGCTATATCTGACGGTATTTTCTTCTTATATTTCTACCAGATTTTTTGTCCGTCTTTTATAGCATCCTATTCCTGGAATACCTCTTTAGGTGAACACTTGGCTGCCTAAATGTGTGCTGAACATGCTATACCTTGGAGGCCAACTGGTCCACTCTGTCGGCCACCCTTCCAACAGCTAATCGGATTTCAGTGTTATGTTGTCGTGCCTCGGTCATCAAGAAGGAGCTGAGGTCAGCAGCTTAAAAAAATATATTGGTCATTAAAGGGGATGTGTGCACAAATAATCCTTAAGGCACAAGCAAAGGCACCCACATTGTAGGAGTAAAAACTTGTAGGAGTAAAAATCTCTGACCTCACAATGAATTAATTTGAGTACAATTCTTTAGAAAATCATCCGTGCATTATGAAACTTCAAACTCCACTACAATGAAATTTGATTGGATTCCTTTGGCACAATTGTAAATTATTTTTAAAAATTCAAATCATGAGACTGGAGGAACTACTTGCACTGTAGTGGAACACAAACAATAAAAACAATACACTTCAGTTTTTTGAAAACAGTGAATTTTTAAATTTAGAAAATAAAGATTTTTAAGTAAAAGAGCACTTTTTTTTAAATATTATTATAATCAATTCTAAGCCTTGCAGTTAAATTACGACCTTTCCACTGATTCTTCACTGTGTGCCAATACATTTTTACACTCTTAAAGAAATATATAGCGCTGGATAAAGGCTCTGGGGTGGTGCTTATGATGCTCACCCTGGTATAGCATGTGTTGGGGAGGAAAGACTGATGCAAAAGACTGCAGCTGAGATGTAGCATAAGGCTGTTGAACAAAGACAGAGGGGAAAATGGTTAGAAGACCAAAGCAAAAAAACAGAACTTCATAATCCTCAAGGCTCCTACTCCAGCTACTAATATATATTATATACTATATATTAGCCAGCCCTCATCAGCACTTTAACTGTTTGAACCACTTTTGGCCAACATATTTGATGAACATGAATCCGAGTGTTGCAAAACATACTGCAAATATTAGAAAACAGCTATTTTTTGTATTTAATTAAAAGAAAGCATTGATAAACAAATCACTACTACACTTTTAGCAAATAAAATTTTTGTACCTGAAAAGCAAATCAAACATTATTTGGACAAAAATTAACAAAGATGGTCCCAAACTTTTGACAGGCAGTGTAGATGTCTATAAATAATATGTATGATATTTATTAATTTGTATGGACGATATTCTGATTTGGTGCAGAACTTTTTTTTTTTGGCAATGAGACATAAATAGAATGAATATGGTAGATGAAGCCTCACCTGGAAAGCTTGACCTGAGCTGATATCCACCTGCTGGGGAATGCATGCAGCATTTGCCTCAGGGTGCTGGACAGCCATGGGTTTTGAGGAGACTACACAAGAATCAATTATAAGAAATACAACTTTGGGGAAAAGGCAAAGGTGAATAGTGACAAATGATGGCACTCACTTTCAGCAGCACAGGATGGAGGTTTGGAAGTGATCTGAACAGGCTGTGGAGAGGATGAAGGGTTGATGATTGGAGGGGACGAGTCACGAGCTGTCTCAGACTGACTGATGTTCTATTGAAAGAGACAGAAAGCAGATATACATCAAATACATCAGATATACATGTGTTGTAACTGTGCTTTTAATCAAACAGTACGTCCAGAAGTATGCAGACACCTGCTCATTCAAAATGTCTTCCAAAATCAGAAGTATTAATAGAGATGCTGAAGTAACAGTCACTACTCTCCTGAAAAGGCTTTGCAATAGATGTTTGAACACTGCTGTGAGGATTTGATTTCATTCAGCCCTGAGAGAATTAGTGAGGTAAGGTACTGATGTTAGATTGTTAGTTCTAGTAACATACTGTGCCATTCCAAATCAGCAAAATGTGCCTCTCAAGCTGCTACTGTGCAAAAACATGATGAGCAATGCATTTTTTTGTGAGGATTTTGTTTTTATAGACATGCATTTTTCAGACAGTCTGTCTATACAGTGACAACAGAATATCTCCTTCCGTGTGTGCATTGACATGGATAAACTTGAATTTCTCAATGTGGGTTCAAGTCCAAAGCCTCCCTGTTCCCTGTTTTTAGCTATGTGACAAACTTTCGCCCATTTTTATAGAGAAAATGGCTAATCAAGTACATATGGGGTAAGGGTAACCTCTGCAAATATGCCAAACTATTACTTTAAGGGAAATTATGAATATATGTACAGCTCATTCCCTAGATTTCCCACAAGGCACCTTACCTCTGTCTCAGAGTCACAGGGGTCCTGCTGAGCTGGGATGGCCCCTTTGAGGAAAGGCAACATAGGCTGGCCCATCTTAGCCATGCGTGAGATCAGCTTGGCTTTGGCTGCATCGGAGTGCTATGGTTTACAATCAAACAAAAGACAATGGCTGTAAAATGAGGGCACTGAAGCCAGTAAACAAAATATTATCCATTAATTAAAATAGCAAATATATTATTTTGAGGTTTGTATAAAAGTAAGCATGCCAATAAATTAGTTAACCAATTTGTTTTACAGAAATGTCCATGAATTTTGTGGACATGGCTTTGCTTTCTATGTAATTCTGAGTGAATAAGACTGAAAGAATATATTTTTAGTGGGTGAAGATCATCAATAAGTAAAAAAAAGGAAAAAAATAAATAAATAAATAAAAAAAAACAACACCACAGAGGCCTTGGACTCTAGAAAGTGGCAATGGTAAAGGTGCAAACAGTAGTTTGTTGCACTCTTACATCTTGTTTGGTGTGATAATGCTTGCCACTCTAAAAAGTCTCATCACTCACCTTTGGAGGCTCATTTAGAGGTCCAGACTTTACCCACGGTCCTTGATCTCTAAAGATTAAGCAGTCACTAAATCATACACACTCATATGTCAATGATCCAGACAATTAGGTTAAATTAGAACTCTATTCATGTTTGCAAAAACTGTAGCACTCATATTAAAGCACTGCAATACAGTCAGTCCAAACAAATTCAGTTAAAAACAACACTGGATATTTAAGGATATCCTGGACAAACCCTTGGTCAGAGGACACACAGATGGCAGACTGGTCAGTACTTGTGTTGTCGAGAGAAGGGACTGGACAGCCACTGGCAGAGTCTGCTGATCCACCACTGAGGCAGTCTCCATCTTTGGAAAAACTAGCCTAACCATTTGGTGGTGTCAAAAAATAAACACTTAGTCTTACATCAACTATCTACCACAGCAAAAGTTGTTAACTGTCAACAGTTAACGTAGGCTACTGAGATTCCAATAGCAGGTTGCATTTGTAAGAAGTACCAATGTTTAAAAGCTAATTTCTCTTTCAGAGGATTATAACGCAGAGTAAATGGGACAGGTTACCTGACAAATCTCCACATCAAACACTAGTGTGCCTGTGAGTGGTACACTGTCTGGAATGCCTTTTGACCCACTTATATTGGCAGGGACAATGAGGAGACGCCGTCCTCCTTTCTTTATCCCCATCATCCCCTCTTCCCAGCCCTAAAATACAGAGAGAGAAAGAGAGAGAGAAAAAGAGAGATTCTTTTTCTGTTAATGATTTCACTAAAGTTGGAGGGTATTGAAAAACTGCCACGTCCATCACATAGTAGGAGTACTCAGAGTTCTTCAGTCTACACTAATATTCAAAAGACTGGAATAACTTTTGAAATTGGAGAGAATGAAGAAAAAAAATCACATTTTATGTAAAGCTAAATGCGTGAGTTTAGTATGTACACGTAAACCTACACAAAATTAGGATAATAAAGTAGAATGTTTTTTTTTTAAACAAACTGATTATTAAAGGATCATAGAAAGATTTACCAATAACTGTCATTGTAACTGTTACCCTAATTGTCAGGCCATAGGCAGTCGGGTGCGTACATGTAAACATACATACATTAACAAAAATTTTCAATAAACTTAAATGAACTTAAATACAAATGAAGGGGAAGGGGCAGGAAAAGGGAACGTAAGAGAATCAGGGGACTGGTGCCTACAATATATTTAAATTCAATTACACCATACTCTTCCTGCATTGTTAACATTGCTGGGCTTCATCTGTTAAAGAATTCCTGCCTTTGTAGTCTCAAATTATGTGTTATTTCTTACATATTATGTAAAAACCACAGGCACTGTATCCAGGTTTCATCCGTTGGTACAGTAGTTTTTATCTAGGTTAACGGTTATACCCTTAATTGCTTCTGTAAATAAAATTGGAGAAGATCTACTATCAAATCTCTGGGGAACAAATCCTAACAATGACACTAAAGGCTCTTTAGGCATTGGAATATCAAAGACAGAGTTTAGGGCATTGTAGACATCCTCAAAACACTTCCTAAATTATTGAAATGACCAAAAAGCATGGAAAAATTTTATTCAGTTCCCCCACAACTCCTACAGCAACTACTAGATGAAGATGAGCCAATCCTACTATTTATGTGCGGTGTTAGCAATGAGCTAAAACTAACAATGAGCTTCCATTTGAATTCCCTCTAATTATTGGAACAAGTAATTAAATAAATATATATTATGCACTCAGATTTGTGACCTGTAGAGGATGTGTTAACTTATTTTCTCCTAGAAAATCCACAAAACATGTCATGAGACCAGGAGCGTTCAAACTTTTGCATACAACTGTTTAACAATGAACAGCATTCAGATAAATAACTCACCTTCGGTGCCTTTCCAGACCCTAGCCTCACTCGCTGGAGCTTGTTTTTGCCTATGTTGGAATCAAACATCTGCAAGAGAGAAACACATTGTCTACTGTTACCAACCTTTGGTGGTACAAAACACACAACAGAAATTAAATTATAAACTTAATTACAAACTGCAGGATGTTATTTAGGTGAAGAGCGCATGACCTGTGTTACTAATGGACAGCAGTGCAGGACCACAAGGGGAAAAAAAAACAAAAATTCACAGAATTTTGCCTTTTGTATCTTTAACCTCCAAAAGTCCAGGACAAAGAAAATCTCCCTGGCATTACGGATGCAATCTTTACTCACATAATCTCATTTTAAAAGCCACAAAACTGTCAAGAAAACATTTGAACAATTTTTTGTTTCATTCAAGCCATGAACTGGGGCTCTGGAGATGATAAAAACAAGTAAAACAGTTAACTGTGAAAACTAATAGTGATGTGCACAATCTACATACGAACACACAGCAGAGACAGTAGTTGCACCTGTCCTATAGTGTGATTCTGAAACAGCCAGCCAGTGAAGACCACCTCCACAGTGTCTCCCACATCTACAGCCTGACCCTCGCCCTGCAGCAGGTCCTGGACCATCAGAGTGTCCACACAAGCCTGGCTGTTCCATCTGGCCAAACACACCTGAGAGAGAAAGACAGGGCACTGGAGAGATCTTTTTTCTTTTTTGAAGATTCTGACTGACATCAAATCAAGACATCTAGACTGGAAAAAATGGAAAAGATTTTTGGTACAGCATTTAGCATGATGTCACATTGCATGCTGCTTAAAATTTTTAGCAACCTCAACTTAAAACAGCTTCCTCTGTGTTGCAGCCTCCTAAGATATCAACGCACAAAAGTCAACATTGCGATAGTCAATAACAAGTAATATATTGTATAGCCCTATAGTCAGGTAAAAACATATAATGCCCTTCAGAAGCTTTGAAACTGCAGCCTGGATGGTATTTACTCTATTTCTATTTGCAGTAAAACTCTACATACTCTATGCAGTATTTCCAATAGAACAAGTCTACTTTGACAAAAAATGGGAACTAAATATTTGGATAATGGCCATGCTGCAATCGGCTTAGAACAAAAAAAATTAAGATTAGGATGTTTCTGCAGCAAATCTACTGTGAGAAATGTCAAAAACATACATGTACTCATAGCCCCATGGCTCCAACTTTACATTAACCTATCTTTGAACAACACATAATTGGTTTTAGGCTCTGAATTACCTCTTTAGAGAAGTCTAATACAGCCTTTTCTGTGTCAAACTTCAGAGACCAGTTCTGATGCTGATCATCATAGAATGTTGTGTAGTTACCAGGCTGAACCTGAGGAGGACAATGAACAATGAAGAATGTTACTGAAGAGAGGATAGGTATTAAAATAAAAAAAGAGACGAGAAGAGAAGAGACAAGACAAGACGAGTTCAGAATAAAGAAAGAAAACAAAACAGAATATAAAAGAAGACAAGACATACAAACAAAACATAAGAGAAGAGATGAGGGGAAAAAGAAGAAAAAAGGAAGAGAAAAGAACAAAAGCAAAGGCTAAGAAGACAAAAGAGAACACAAGAGAGGAGAAGAAAAGAACATCAGAGGAGAAGAATAAAGGAGAAGAATAAAAAGAATACAGGAAAAAGGCAAAAGAGAAAAGAATTGAAAAACAGAAAAGAAAGAGAAGAGAAAATAAAATAGACATCAGAAAAGAGAAGAAACGAACAGAAAAAGAAAAAAAGTAAGAGAAAAAAGGGCACGAGAAGCAAACAGGAAGAAGATAGGATGAAAAGAGAAGAAAGGAAAGAGACAAGAAAAGAGGAAAAGAACATATGAGAGGAGAACAAAAATGAAAAAAGAATAGAAAAAACGGGGGAGAGGAGAAGTTTACTGTGAGGACAAATCCAGGGTATATTCGTGCTGTGGTGATGTGCTTCTGCTGACTGCCATACAGCAGGAGAGTATACTGCAAAGTACAAATACAAAGAAAACTGTCCATCACTGTTGCGAACACACTCCAAACATTATTTTATTTATTTTTTATCCTGCTTGATTATTTATTTTGTTGACTGTTATCATCTCACCTCCTTGATCACATGGTTTCCCAGGATGGCAGCCCCCAACTTGCCCTGCTTCATGTATTGTCCATTTACACTGTAAACTCAACTTGGTTAGAGATTCCTCAGCAATTATAATCAAACAAAAGAAAAATGAAAGTTTCTCAAATCTTTTTTTAAGAGTCATATTTACTCACAAGCGGAACGTGTGGACTCCAGTAGCAAATAGGACGGCTAGAGCTGTTGGGGGAGGGGCTGGTTTCTGAGGAAGCGGACCTAAAACAGCCCACAACACTTAACTGAAATCAGCAGTATGTTATAATTATCATGTTAAATTATGTCAATATGCTTTTTTGAGTATATTATAGACATTGTCAGTAATTCTAGAACAATGAATAATTATAGAACAATTATAAAGAGCCTGTAAACAACAACACAACAACAGTGTGTAGTAACTACATAAACTGCACAGTAATAAGTAGCTGACTGGATGTCAGGCCATTATGCCACTATCTTATTTTGCAAGCTTATTTTCACCAGACGTTTTTGTGACCTTTTTTTCAGACGTTGATGTGTTATGCTGAGGAGCTGAAAGTAGAACTTTTTGGATGAGTCCTTTCAACTCCTCAGTCCACAGAACATTATTCCAAAAGCTTGGGGGTCATTACGATGGTTTTTTGCAAATAAGAAATGAGCCTTTATGTTCATCCTCGTTGGCAGTACTGGTAACTGTGGTTCACTGGAGTCCTAGGGCCTTAGAAATGACACATTTCAATACTCTCTCTCGTGTCTGCCAGAATTTCTTTTGATTGCAGCATAGTGTTCTACTTGTTAAGACGTTTGAGTCTACTTCATATGGTATATAAGTGATGTTTACATTCAACAGGCCTGGCAGTAATCCTACCTGTGTGTCTAGTTTAATTGATCCCACTTATCAACTAAACTTCAGCAATTATTTTTATATGACTACTTTCCTTTGATAAATAAAATGATCATTTAAAAAACTTTATTTTGTGTTTACTCAGACTGTCTGTCTTGTATAAAGTTTTGTTTAAAAAAACAAACAAATATACATATCTATAACAATCCAAAATAAATAGCAATTATCTGCTCATATCTTTACAATTCCAACATTATTGAGCATCACTAAAATAATTATTTTGTAGTTTTTAAATTAGAACCCTTCAAACATAAAACACTGAACATGCTGATGTATACTGTTCATTGGGAAAATGTAGTGTGAAGTTATATTTATGTCTACATCACTCAATTTTACTTTCAAGCAGTGTATATGCATTCATGTTCAACCACTACTGCAAGAGATTTTTGCAAAAACAAACACACACATACATACATACATACATACACATACATAAATAATTTGACTATGGAAAAAAACTGCAGAAATGTGTCATCAGGTGTACCAGTGGTGGAGGAGATTTTTTTGGGTTGCTTGGGGGCGGTGAACTGAAAGGACTCGTTTCCCTGACTCTCAGCCTGATCCAGGTCAAAGAGAGAGGCCAGCTTTGCCCTGTGAGAACACACATGCATGCATGCATACATAGTGATATTTATGTAATTTAGATACCTTGGAACCAGAAATGTAGCACTATTTCCATCTAAATTCTAGCCCATAAAAGAGGATGTTAAAACAATAATTTGGCCAAAAAAAACCCCGCATATTTTCACAATTTCCTCTTACCCAGTGTTGATCAGCTAATGTTTGGTGTACAAGCCATTCATTTTTTTGGTGTCAGGAAAAAATAAGTAGCAAATCTATATTTAACAGAAAATTATGCAGAAGCCTAAATGTTACATATTTTATTAAGTATTCAGTGTGTCCACCCTTTGCCTTTATTGCAACTTCTATTCTTTTTGAGAGACTTACAGTTTGTCAAAAAAATCTTCAGTGATATTTTCCATACTTCAGTTTTAGAAGTTTTTTTTTCTTTGTACAATCCCAGTCATCCCAAACACATTTAGTTATGAGCTCTGGGGATGGCAGTCCACCGTGCTGAGAATACCAGAAGACCCATTTATTACTCATTTGTATAAATTTTTTTGGTTCTATACTATTTTTCCTATAACAGCTTCTTAAAAGCTACACATCCTTTCAGAGCTTTAGTATTGAGCTGTCTTCTCACAGTGGAAGGATTGGCAGAAACACTTGTGTTTTTTTTAGATCTGAAGCAAGAGTGGAGCTTGATTTGCATACTTCAAAGATGAAAGCTTTAAGTACCGTTTATCTGATAGTGACAGTTTTGGTAGTCTGTCAGGTCTTGAATGGTTGTTAAAAGTCTCAATATCTTTTAGTCATTATTTGAACTCCAGTTTTGGAAACTCCTGTTTTTTCCACTTATTTTCCTTTGACTTTCCCCTTCCAAGTATACTATCGTACATCTAATTTCCTCATGATCTTAAAGTTAATGTCTGTTTTAACCAAAAAAATAATAAAATGTCTGTGACTTTTGCAGAGTACTGTAAGAGGCTAATGTAGCTAGAAACTGAAGCTTATGCCTCACCAATCACCATCACACACTCGCTTAAAGTAATATCATATAAATATGCTTATGTGGTTTCTGATGCTGCAATCCAAGAAATGGACAAAAGTATGCGACAAAGGTGTTACAGCAGCCATCTACAAACTCCAATTCTGGAAAAGTTACGACATTTTGTAAAATGCAATAAAAACAAGAATCTGTGATTTGTCAATTCTCTTGAACCTTTACTTAAGTGACAAAAGTACAAAGAAATAAATTTTAATGTTTTTGTTGGCCAACTTGATTGTATATTGTGAATATAAATACAATTTGAATTTGATGCCTGCAACACACACACAAAGAAAGTTGAGACAGGGTCAAAATAAGTGTTTATACAATATTCAAGTTACATTGTTTTGAAACATTCCACAATAAGCTGGTCTATTGGTAACAGGTGAGGAATTTGGGTATACAAGAAGCGTCCACCAAAGGCTCGGTCTCTGCAAGCAAAGATGGGATGTGGCTCACCACTTTGTGCCAAACTTTGCGAGAGTATTGTCAAACAGCTCAAAAAGAAAATTTCTCAACACAAGATTGTAAGGAATTTAGATCTTGTACCATCTACCATACATAATACTGTGAAAAGATTCAGGGAATCCAGAGAAATCCATGCCCACCGCATGGGGGACTTGCATATGTGTGAAGGTAGCATTGACACACAGGCGTATATAGAGAGACATATGCTGCCATCAAGACTATGTCTTCACCGAGAAGTCCATGGTTATTTCAGCAAGACAATGTCAATCCTATATGTACAAAATACGTTGGTCAGTGTAAACACTGGAAATCTTTTCTTTGTACATTTGTCAGTTAAATACATTTTCAAGAGAATTAAAAAAAAAAACAAACAAAAAAAAAGTTTTTATGGCAAATTACAAAATGTCCCAACTTTTCCAAAAATGGGGTTTGTAGAAGTCTGAATTTTGACTGTACCTTAGTCCAGTATGAGACAGAAGTGGGTCCATTTTTCTATTGAGTGTATTACTCTAGTTTGAGGTGTGTGATTTAGGCATGCAGTTCGCACTATGCAAACTGGTGGCCATAAGCCTTCATTACTTGTTAGCTACATTAGTCCTGTACCTTCAAACACATCTTTGATTAATCAAGCGCATGTGAGGCAAAGTGTAAATGGAGAAAATCCGATTTTTTGACAAACTATTCGTTTAAAACGCAACAATACAAGTCACCAGTCAGTGACCTATCGCAGCACATGCTGTGGGTTTGGAGGGTGAGATCATTATTATGAACAACACTATCACATAGGCTGTTTGTTTTCAGTGTAATACTGCACTCGACAGACAACATTCAAAGTCCAAGGGATAATATCTTTAACACAAACAAACCAAGGTACTAATTTCATGTATTAGTTTCATGCATTAACACAAAACACAGTGAATAATCACACATGACCTCAATGGAAAACAACTGGGATAACACAAGTATGTCTTGCAAGTCAATAACTAAAACATGCAGCAACAAGCCAAAAAACCTTACACTCAAACCAGATTAGAGCAGAGAAAACATGAACCACTCATGATCACCACAGCATCACTTCATAACTTCATCACTTCCAGCTTTCTTTTAACAACTAAAACATTCTAGTGTCCGCTATCCTTATTAATGTAAATGGCCTGTTCACACTTTTCTCCAAACACTTCTAATAAATGTGTTCCTAATCAGTATATCTAACAGAAGGGGATATCTTCCATCTCTTATAGCTCAGAAGTGAGTATACTGACCCCTGCACCTCTCTCCACAGATAGTCAGTGTCCCACACAGCTGACATGGCTGCCAGCTTTCAGTCGCTACCCAACAGGCCAAACAGCCTGAAGCAGAAAAAAAAGAAAAGAAAAACTTCTCCTCCGATTTAAGACTCTGTGCCTTTCCTTCTTGCTGTGTACTGCACTGTGTGACAAGCAAAAGAGTGGACCAGCCCCTCTCTCAATTCCCAGTAATAACTAGCATGTGAGGGAAGTTATACAGACTGAGGAACAGCTCCTGAATTTAATATAAGTGCCTATTTGGTCTGTGTGTTTCTCTCTTGCTCTCTCTCTCTCTCTTCCACTGCTACTAGGGCCGCACCTACAGACAGATTACTACTACTACATTATATTGCTACATACTGTGATGTGCCTTTAAATATAGTAAAACACTGGCAAACTCTTACAATATAACATGATTAAAGATTAGTCTGCATTATTGTAGTCAAAATTGTTTTTTGTTGCTGAATCATGTGAAAACAAATCTTAAACTAATTTAGTTGATCAAGACGTTGATAGCTCACTGCCAAAAAAACAGCTTATTTGCATATTGCAGCCTTCTGCAATGTCAGTTTTGCAAAGCCTAAAATCATGATAAAGATTTACTAAGTAAATATTGTGCAGCCCCAGCCAGAATGCTACTAACCACACTTGTCAAATCATTACAAAAAACACAAACACCTTACAACCCCCCCCCCACCCCCCACCGCCAAACTGTAGCATGAACTTTGGCTTGCATATATTGAGCACCCTGTTGGTCTTGAGTGCAGCGTAAACTACACAAATTTGCCTTGATCAACAATGATGTTTGTTCTTTATGAGTAGATTCTTTTTTTTTACTGGGCTTGATTGTCTCAGATAGTACTATCAAGTGTGACAGTAATACTACAATACCAACTACTGACAAATCTAAATATGGGATATAGAAAAAAAAAAGGGGGTTGTGTGCAGCTGAGTAAGAAACAGTGCTGTAAGAAATCCAAAATGAAAAAAATGAAATTTGAAAATAGAATCTAGTGATCCTTACATATCCTTTTATTCAGGTCAGACCACTTGCAATTTCCAGTATTTAGTGCATTTGACTTTAAAGGGGCATTCTAGCCTAAAATTAGCACTTAAATGTTATAGGTTGTGTTATGTAGTGTTCTGTAGAACAGCACTGTATCCCTCAGCTTCATCGGTTTGACAGAATACACATTTTTTATGCTTTTCATGTTTCCATCACATTAATGTTCTCCCACTACAATGCCCAGCATGCATGTCACAAATCTATTTAGAATCTCCCCCACACAGAAAACGAAACGCACAGCTGTAGAGGCTAACAAATTTAGATGTGATATTCAACTTCTTAGTAATAAGGTTAGCTATATAACGTCCCTCTGCATTAGCCAGCTAGAAAAAACTGCCCTCATGTTTCTGCCGCAAAGTACTTGTATTCTTTCAAAAATTCGTCCCACCTCCAACATACTTCATCATCAGAAGGTGGGTGTTTTAGTCTTTAACTGGAAAAAAATCTTACTTTTGGAACTATGTGGCACCACTGTAGGAGGTGAGCAGCCATGTTTACAACGTGTAGCAATGGTTACATTTTTTCATTTTGGCCTGGGTACCCCTCAAACTGCCCTTTAAGACCATAGAGAATTAACCTAGCTAAGCTACGTATACGAATATGAACAAATGACATTCGCATTAAATTCACACGCTTGAGGGGATGAAGTTACGCTCAACAGGTCTGGTTTGAAAATGTTTGAAAATTAAAACTAGAGACGATTCAAATGTTTGCCAGGTCAAACCATGTCAGTTTTCCAATGACGAGACGCAGCCGTCAAACATTAAACTAGCTGAAACTAGCAAGCCTAGCTAGCTGTAGAACTGTAGAAAGAATTATATCACATGCACCCTACGTGACATGTCTTAAATACTTCTATTTACCGTCAGGAGTCTTACCCGCTTTTAGGCGCCAGAAATTCCCCATCGTGGTAGTCTGGGAAAATGTCTTTAACTTCTTTCATTCTCAGACTGAAGTGACCGCTCACACTTAAGCAGCTCTCAGGCAGCAGACGTGATCGTCCCTCGCGTGGGACAGCATCAACGCAGGTATGCAGACACGCGCCGGCTGAATCCCAAACGGCTCCCTATTGGACGTAGACACTATTATTTACGGCCTTTGTAGCGCACTAGGTAAGGAGTGGGGGCATATTTGAGACTGCGATTGAAAAGGATTCCAACAATCACGTGACAACACGACTTGAGCCGTGACGGGCAGTCTGCTCTCTTTAACAGAGCGCTTGTAAGTTTATTCGAGGGGTAGGAGAGTTCACAGTTGCAAATTTGATTGTAAAGAACACTGAGCGTTTTGAACACTGGGCCTCTTTTTCTGCTTTCATGGCGTTCAATTTAGATTTACACTTAAATCAGGGGGAATTTTTTATTTTTTCTGCAAAATTCATTCGCCAAGATTCACAGCTAGAATTGTTCACAGCGGTGGTAATAAGAACCAGATATCTGAAGCATGCTTAAGACTTGAGATAAGGGTTTGGCTTAAATATTTTTATTTTTTTGATAAATGCTTTCTCTGCTGAGCGTTGTGAGGCACAATAGTTTAGAAAGAAAAGTTTTCAAGACAAGTTTAGGTTCAACTGGTTGTTTTGGACAGTAAATAAAATTGTATTTGCGTTGTAGACTTCATGACCCCTGGTTCCCATCACCACTGCTGTTGCTGAGTTGGTAAGTTTCTTTACAGTTCAACTTTAAATCTCTCTTTTAGAACACACAGGAGTATGACTTTTCATGATTTGAACAAATTGTAATTTATTTATTAACATAAGTGACTCAATAGTATTCTGTTCTACTAGAAATTATTTCCAGATGAGACGATTCATCAATTGCACAATTTTACAGTCAAAACAATAAAATACGAAATACAATGCAGCATTACATATGTTGCAACCTGAACATGCAACACATGTTACGGTATAATAAGGATATTAAATACAGTTTTATAAGACTTCCCTGTATAGTAAATCAGCTGTGTGCAAAGAACTCAAATGAATGATGAGTATTTCTCTCTGTATTTACATAATTATATTATTTAAAATAAAGAGTAAACAATCATGGCACATACAGACACATGCACAGAAGTAGCATAATGGCACCAGGTCCTAGACAGCTTTCTACTTCACTTATTCTAGAGTAGTATACTCCATTATTGAACTCTATACCTTGCAATCAAGAAAGAAAGAATGGAAATCACTCTATGGCCATAAATTTAACTAAATTGATGATTACATGTATAAGTGCAAAAAAAAAAAACTTTTTTGACAAAGCACAAAAACTGAAATCTAACAGAAATCAAAAGAAACTGTTTTGAATCACAATTTTGACAAATTGACTTTTCTGGTAAAAACAACAAACAGCTCAAGAAGCCAGTGAAGAGATGTTTCTTAAAAAAAAAAAAAAGTAAACTGTCACCAGTTTCGAGAAAAATCTTGTAAATTTGGTGAGAACACCAAAGAATGGCACTTTGCGAAGTGATTTACAGTCAAAACCCGTGTGATGCCAGGTTGAAAGATTTGTTGACAAGTGCTTCATCAACTGTTAGTGCTTCAGCGAGTGCTGGCCACAGGGTCAGTCTAATGGACTTAGCTATGGTCTTCACAGCTTGGCTTTGGGTGTCTGGTCCAGAAGGGTCTTCATGTCCACCAGAGCGTCCTCCAGAGCCTGGGCCATTCGGGCAGCGTTGGTGTCCGCACAGCTGTTGAAAGCGGACACAGCAAAGTTGATGTGCTCCTCCATGGGGTTGTAGCACACACCGTATCCATCAGGTACCACTGGGCCAAAACACATCACACAATCTGTCTTTGCTGGAACCTGAAGAGGGACAGAGAGAAAAAAGGGATGTTCTTTTAAAGACATTATACTGTAACAGTGCTATAATGGTAGGAACAAGTAAAGAACATGCTTATTTAATAGATGTCTCTTTTTAAATTAGAAGACTGGTATAAGAGCTGAAAAAGACATATTTTAAAGGCTCTGTATTGGCTATTTGTACACTCAATCCACAATGACTCAAAGGGGTTTTGAATTCATGAATTTTGAATTTCTTTTTTATCGTGCCACACTTATACAGACTAGAAAGAAGAAAAAATAGCCAGATCTAAACTTTATACCAGCAGCATCACTGCTTGATAAAAGTATAACCCATACCTAGGTATGGAATGATTTCCCTCAATTTCATCACTACATTAAGCCCGATCTAATTCCGGTCCTTTGTTAAGGATATGTTATGTGCTTTGTTTACGCTAGTGTTTTAGTGGCAGGACTGAGCCATATGGTAAAAAGTGGCTTAAGATTTTTCAGCCTTGTGAAAAAAAATAGATAATATTCATGCATCCTCTCAGAAATGGCTTAAAAGAGTGATTTTTGTAAAATCAAAGAACTATAACTTCAACTAAACAGCCTTGATTAAACGCACGTGTGTGTAAACAAATTGCTGCGAGATAGATTCAAAATGTTTACTGCAATAAGACAGAAATACTGAAATACAGTAGAAAAAATGTAAAAATAATCAAGGTTTCAAGAAATCTGTTCCTTGTAGTGCAAAGAATTCAACATCTTTCATGAAAACTGCAAAAAAAGAAAATGCGCAAAAGTTTTTTTTCCATTTTTGCGGCCCAGCAGGTTGCTTCCATCAGACTTAGATAAAAATGCGTTATGTAATGACATCATTTGTTGCTGCACAAGTTTTGGTTCTGCCTCAACTCTGGCTTTCTATGTCCCATGTTTTGAGTGCGTTAAAGCATTAAAACATTTTTCATTAGAAATCTTTTAGATGGAAATGTAGCTGTTGTAGCATTCATTTTTGCAATTTTTATGATAGAACACGTTATCAACAATTTTTGTGTGTAATTGAGAACATTTAGCCTAAAAGCACAGAGCATGTGAACTGCCTGTAGATGAGTTCACCAATCAGAAGCAGCAAAACACCCGTGTTCTATGTATGTGACATCACAACCATCACAACTAGTGTAATGCACTCAACATTCCAGCTTCATGCCAGTAAAAGAATATGTTCTGGTCTTCTTGGCCAAAAAACAGGCCTGCAAATTAATAAAAAAAAAAAATTTCTATGCATTTAAATCGCAATTGCAATATTGGTCAGAAAAATCACAATTAGATATTCTCCCCAAATTGTTCAGCCTTGGACAGCCTAGAATATGTTAACTAAACTGGTTTGGTACTTAAATGTATTGAAGGCTGCATTTTGTTGCTGTATTATTTACAAAAATACAAATATCAGAGTCGGTATTGTAAGACCCTGAATATTAAAATAATCGGATTGGGGTCAGGGCAAAAATACTTCAGGACATCCTTTTTATTAAGAGCAGGAA